TGTTTGGCTGACCCAAAAGATCCTAATTCTGTCAAGCTCTAATATGCTTTTCACACACTGTGAGGCTCTAAAGTTTGTGTGATTATTTTTTTTAATCCTAGATGTGTTTACATTTTTAGAACCCGACTCATGCATTTGCTGTTTGGTGGAACATATTTTTAGTATCTCTTAATTACGATGATTTCCTGGTAGCCAGATAAAGTTTGGAGTTATGTGGAAACTTTTTCCCAAGCTGTGTTTCCCGTCGCGCCCGTCGGAAGCTGCTTTTTCCTCCAGGTGCTCCTTTGGTAACTGGAGTCTTGGCATACACAGGTGGTTATTTTCAGTGGTTTATTCTGATATTAATTTAGGCTTATTCTGTATTTTTCAAGGATATCAAGTAAGCAATTTGTTTGTTTAGAGGGAATTTCCAAGGTAAGCCAGCTTGTTGAAGCTGCGTATTGGGCAACTTAAAAAATCATTTCTCTGCACTGGTAAAACCTCTGCTTTTCCTCTTGACTTGGATTATTTCTGGGCTAATTGGAGTTTTCATATTCTGATGCAATCTATAAAAACACTCGTTAGAAATTATCAAGACATACATAGTAATTTTTAATGCCTGATTTTTTAAAATGAAGAAATATTTTAATAATTTTTATAATCTTAATTTTAGTAAAATATCTCTTCACAAAAATGCAGGCTTTTGAGAGTCATCTGACAATAAATGTCCAACAGAGATGATCTTTCTGTCACTGAAGTCCAGTGAAATCCTGAGTTCACATTCTAGTGAATCAGGACTTAATTTTTTTGATTGTAATTATTTGAATATACCCTTGGTAAAAAAAATTTACTTTGTAAAGAGACTGTTAAATCAGATTTTAAAAACAATTAAATCTTGTAGTTTTTACTTGTTTTCTTTTCACTCCTACTTGGAAGAAAGACTGTGTGTACCTAATTCACGTATCTTACAATTTTTTTTCAAGTTTTGCCAACAGTCTCTCCCCACTTCTCAGCAAAGTATAGTGCAAGAGTGCTCTGAACTTCCTCCCTCATACTATCAAAGCGTATTCTAAATCCTGTCAAGAATAATTTCAACATTTGTGAGAAAAACTGCATTCTTTGAAGCGCTCCCTGGCGTCTTTTCTTGCTTTGGTATTTTTACTTAAAAGGGTATGTAATGAGGCAGTTGCAAGTATAAGTTACTAAGTTATAATGCACTTGAAAAGTTACTTAGCTGGTTGTCTGCCTTCTGTTGTCTGTTTTTATGTTTTTGTCGTCGTGATTTTTGGAGGCTTTCAGTTGTTTAGTGAATAGCCAGCTTACTGATAGGTTTTGATAGTCTCGCGCAACATTCTTGTAGCCAAATGATGATGTTGCAGTCTGGATAGATGAGCAACAAGATGGAGGAATAACTGGTTGGCTCAGGGGGTAGCAGTTAATGGGTGATACTCTGCCGTCGGGCTGGTGACCAGCAGCACACTGGTCTTTCCTGGAGGAGGTGATGGAGGGCACTCTCATTTGCAGATGACACCAAATTGGGGGATCAGTTAACACAGCGAGGGCAGGGCCTGCCATTCGGAGCGACCTAGAGAGGCTGCAGGAGTGGGCTGACAGGAAGATTATGAAATTTAACAGGTATAGATGCAAAACCCTGCACGCAGGCAGGTGGAGCCCCTGCAGCAAGGCCAGTCGGGGACCGACTGGCGGGGGGGGACACCCGGGCGGGGTGGGCCCGGAGCCAGCAGCACGCCTGGCATCCGGGGAGGCCACGGCATCCGGGGCTGTGTGAACAGGAATGTGGCCAGGAGATCAAGGGAAAGGACTATCCTCCCCTACTCGGTGCTGCTTAGACCACGTCTAGGTACCGCGTCCAGTTTTGGGGCCCCCCATCCAGGGGGAACATCAAAAACCTGGCGTGAGTTCAGTCAAGGGCTGCTTGAAACTTTGGTATCTTTAGTGAAAGCAAAAATCCCAGAGAAGAATACTTGCATACATTTTACAGTCTGATTGAATGAGTCTACAGAAAACAGGTGCACTAAAGAGCAGGGGGAAAAGGGCATTTAGTCTAATTTAGTCTAAGCTCCTTTTTTTTTTTTTTATTAGTCTGTGCCTTTCCCTTTTTAAAACAGGTACATTTATGGATTCTAGTTCACTTGAGAACTATAAAGGACCATAATAAATTAATTGAAGGAAAGTAAATTGATTGTATAACAGTATGAAAGCACCAGAAAGCCATCTATTTGAACAACTTGACATCTTCCACATTAGGTCTAAGGCATGTGTTAGTAATCTCAACAACCAGTGTTTTCAGTTGCTGGTTTTTTGTAGTCATTCTTCTAATTTTTTTTTTTTTTTTTTTTTTTTTAGCCCTACTTATTCAGGAAATATGTTGTGTATAACTGGAAAACGTTTTAGGTTAAATATAAAATGGTCACTTAGCTTGTTGTTTGGACAGAAACTTTAGCTACTGCGGCAGAAATTTTAATTTGGAGGAAGCGTCAGTCAGTCATGTGAATGATGTGAGAAAATAGTGTCCTTTATGCTTGAGGTACATAGTTATAAGCCTTTGTAATTTCTTGAATTATAAGCCTTTGGCCTATTTGCACAGCTATATGGTGAATTTTTTCCCTAGAAAAGAGGCTGAGGGGGGGAACACCTACAGGGAAAATCAGTGCATTAGGACTACATAAGGACTACTCTCCGGGCACAGATTTTTTTTTTTTTAAATTAATTTTTTTTTTTATTTTATTCCCCGCTTCCCCATTGACCTTTAAGAGCACAGGGCAGCCCTTTTAATGACTGGAATTAGCTGGTACAGCTTTCCAGGTCCCGTTAGCCGATATAGGCAGGATCCACAGAGGCAGAAGCAGATAATGACTATGGCTTTTTCTCATGCTGAGGTGTTTGTAGAAGTAGTTGTCCCCTGAAACTTGCTGATAAATCCTTGCCTGGCTAGCGGAGGCGAGGGCAGCACAGTATCTCAGGAGGGCTGCACGTACCCAGAGGCTGCTTCAGGCTGGGGTGAGTGGTTCCAAGGTAGAACCAACTTCCATGCTTCAGCGCCTGCATAGCGAGTGGAAGGCTAGGGATAGCGCGTTGCTCAGCAGCGCTGGAGAAAATGAGGTTTTGTAGCAAGTGGAAGTTTTGTGGACGGGTGCTGCCTCTTTGCTTGGGCTGCGGAGGAGGCAGGCTGTAAGTTGTAGTGTGGCTGCGAGGGAGGCGAGCTGTGGGTTGGCCGTGGGGCTGTTCCTGGGAATGGTGCAGAAGGCTGTACGTCAGCACTTGAATTTCCAATTTTTAAGAAATATTTTGCCTCCTTTTGGTTCTGTTCTCTTGAAAGTCATAGCTGGTGTAGAATTAGTCACCTTCTATTTGGGTTATCATGGCAAGTCCTGTAAGTCTGCATCAATTGTGAATTAGCGTTTTCTCTGTAGTCTTTTTTTTTTTTTTTCCTGTGCACAGCAGTGTGATTAAGAAATAGGTGCAGTTAGTAATTCAAAGGTACAATTTTATAGTGAAAGGAAAAATGCAATAATATTTTAAGCATGTCAGGACTCGGCGATGTCTGTGAGGATTGGTATGTGGACATGAACGGCATATGAGGGTATATGGATATACTTTTGTCTGTCTTAGAACTCCTCTGGTGCTGGCTCTATTCAGTGTTTTATAAACATGTAAAACTACACTTGGTGTTGGAAAACATCATTCTGAATAGCTTTGTAATTTAATAATGTAATATGTTAATTTAAATGTAAAAAATGTAATAACTGACAGCATTTTTCTGTTGTTTTACGTTTGACCGTCAGCTTCACCTAGCCATCCTTCGCATTTCTGACAACAGAAACCCCACATGTAACGGTTTGGTTTTGCTTAGCCAAGCAACTTTTATTATACCTGGCAGAGCGTGAAATCATGCAGCAAGGTTGTTGATGTTAACTCTAGGTAACTGACTTTGGAGAACAAGCCTATGAGAATTCTTCAGCTAGAGTATTTTGTGTTTCTTTAGAATACGTTAGCACAGCAGGTAGCTGTTACCATTTGGCTTTGGCCAGTGACAATTTCAATAGTTAACAGGACATTTTAGGCAAAATGAAAGAAACAGACTGCAGTACTAAGAAAAAAGTTGTATCAGTCTCATATGTCTCTGTTCTGGCGTTAAAAATATCCTGAAGTACCAATATAGAGTGCAAAACTGTCAGAACATATTATGAGAAAGACAGAAAATTTATGTTGTCAGTGAGAGCCGCTGGCTTTTATTATTACAATTGACTAGCATTTCTGCATCATACGCGATGTTATTAATAATTGCTCATCATTCGGGACTGTAGTAAAGGAGTTGCTCCAAGGAACATAGAGTCGTCGTACACCACACTGTAATTGATATTGAAGAGGTGTTGACTTAAAAGAAAAATGCTCTCCTTATTATACACCGATGTTTTTACTTCTGAAATCTGCTTTAAGAAAAAGATTTCTGCTTATTTACTGATGTTTGAATGGATATTTGGTGTGTCAGTCCAGTTTTATGGCTCCTTTTGGCAACTATCACTGCTCAGTTGCTTCTGTATATGATCTGGGACCTTGATGCAGGCAACAGAGTGAATTACTGCCCTCTGATGTTTTTGCCTGGTTTAATAAAACATGTTCTGCATTTGGATAATAATCTCCATAATGGTAAATGCTTTTAATGAATTTCATTATTGTAAAATATCATTAACATAACATTTTCCCTGGAAGACTGACATGATGCTTGTCCTAGAAAACCTTACGCTCTTTCAGCATTTATCCGTATGGATTCCATTTTCTAGCTCTGTCTGTCTGGTGTGTGAAAGCTTGGACAATTTTTACCTAGCAGTATTTGCTGGAGCTTCCCCTAATGGGTAGAATTGCCTAGACCAGCAGCTCTTCTTGACACCCCGGTCCTTTCCATCAGCAGCTTAGCTAGCAAATTCTCTTCTCTCTCTCTTTTTTTTTTTTTTTTTTTGTAAGGAGAGAGCTTGTGAAACCGCTTTAGAAAAATGAAGAGAGAACTCTGAGAGGAATAGTTCCAGTTTATATATTCCTCCTAAAAAGCATTTTTTTCCAAAGCATATTCTAATAGTGGTCTGACTAGAGTTAGTACTTCAATAGCCACCACATCTTTTTTATTCTAGAAGATGTCATTCTTCACTAAACAGAACAATTCTTTTCTTTCTACATCCTCTGGCCAGTCAGTGACTCCTGTAGAGCAAAGCAGGAGGGAAGGAGATCTTCTAATGATATTCAGTGTAACATTCCTTTCGCTGTAGGAGGAAAGAGGAAGTTCTTGAGACCCAGCAGAGATATGTAGAAGCAAATTTGGTTGTCACTGTATGTCGGTACAAGCTATACAAGCTGGCCCTTTCTGTTTGTTGTCATATTAGTAATTCATGGCAGTTGGGCCTGCTTTTTTTGGTGTCAGTATCATCATCATCATCATCTTCTGGCACATTCTTTGCTGCTATATACAGAGGAGAGAGCCTGTATATTGACGTTAATGACTGTGGTGGTGTCATTGAAAATGGTGCTGTTTACCTACCTCCTCTCGACTCAGGCTGTCTGCACAGCTTCTGTGGATATGTACCTGCACTACGTGTAGGATGTTCTTCAAAGGATTTTTCCAGTCTGTCTGGAGGCTGACAAAAACAGAATCTTAGACGCATGTGCAAGTACGCGCATATGTATGTATGTGTATTTATATGTATGTACGTACAAGCATGCATACATATATATCTTTCCACTTGTATTGTGGTGGAAATGTGCTGCAACGTTCAAATGAAAAGTATTACTTTTGTGTGTATTAGGTACATACGACAGCAGAAGCATCGTTATGTGATAGCTTTTTTTGGCAGAATTCTGAAATCCCAGTTATTGATGGACAGTGCTTTCAGGTGTTGCCGTTTATAAAGTTCAAGGAATCTGCATCTTGCCTCAAGATAAAGACTTATGACATCACTTTAATGTGAAGGTTATGCTGCCTAATAAATGTCTTATCCTCTCAGTTTTAAAATGTAGTTGCAAAGCGCAGAAGCCGCCTTCTGTTACAGCCTGCATTAACAGTGTGTAGTAACAGTCTGTCAGTATTGAACTGGTTCAGTAGCTTTTAAATTCTGAGTGTCAGGGGAATTACACATGCATTATTTCATTTGTTTGTTTGTTTTACGCTCAGCTGAGCTAGATGCTGAACATGCACAGAAGGTTTTGGATATGGAACACACCCAGCAGATGAAGCTAAAGGAACGTCAGAAGTTCTTTGAAGAAGCCTTCCAGCAGGACATGGAGCAATACCTTTCTACAGGATACTTGCAGATAGCAGAGAGGCGAGGCAAGTTTTAAAATACCTTCTGTGTAACAAACTCACAACTTGGAGAAAAATTGTTGAGGGGGTCAGCAACGGTTTTAATGCTTACAGCTGATGCGTCGCAGTGTCTAAATTCTTCCGGGGTGGAATTGAAACTTCAGATAGGCTCTTTGAAGAAACTTTGGGGTCCAGGGGAACTAGACAACATAGAAAAATCAGTCAGACTCTCTGCTTGGTGTCTGAGGAAATGCAAAGCAGTGAAGTACATCTGGAACAGCACTTTTCTCTGCAGCTGAAGAGTGCATCTGTATCTGTAAAAATATGGGTGGAGGTGGCCGCTTCTGTCCACTGGAGTTCCAAAGCCTGGGATTGTCACCCGGCAGCAGGTGCTTCAGAAAAGTTTTAAAAGTGCAGATGAAAGCTCAGTGTTGTATTTCAAAACAGTTCCCAGGTGCTAGCTATTTCCATTGTCTGTGTAATATACAGAGTATGTGATTAGGACATGGGAGATCAGATTAAGCTCTCTCCTTATTATGAGATGACTCAAGTCTGGCGTCTCCTGACTAGTTAAAGCGCAAGAATGCCATAGACTACAGACACTTCTGTGTGGGAGGTGTCCGTCTGTTGGGCCAAAACTTAGGGACTGCAGGACCAGAAAGCGAGCAAGCAGGAGATTATGTCAGTCATGTGGCGGGAAAAAACGTAGAGATTCTGCCCCTGCTCCGAGACCAGTTCTGCCGTCATTTGTAATGTCGGAGCAGAGAATACAATCCAAGATTTCCATTTTCTGCATGAGTGCTATAAAAGCTCACCTGCAAGATGCTCTAGACTGGTTGCTAGGACAGCCTTCTGAGAGGTGGGATATCTAAGTTTTAAATTCCTTTGGTCTAGGAAGGAATTGAGTTTGGGTCTCCTTCTTTCTACATCTATATATATGTAGACCACTTAGGCTAAAAGTGTCATGGGCTAGTTAGTACTGCATACGTGGCTCTGTTAGAAGGTTAGAATACCTAACTCTCTGAACTTGAGCTTTGCAGTATAATGCAGAACCCACATATGTCGAAGAAACTGGTTTTATGACAGATTTGATCCTGCAGCTGTAGTATATTGGGGAAAAAAACCCACAGTAAAGTGATAGGATTTTGTCTCAGTTTGCATATGAAGGCTTTTAGTGGTGTAATTATGAAATTGAGATAAACCATTAAACTGATCATTATAATATTTGATGTTATACATGCAGCAACTGGACTTAAATCTGAGTACCCCAAACTTACTTGTTCTGTTTGTGTGCTTTATTGTTCAAGGAAGATGATGTGCATCCAAGTATTTAATTCCCTTATGAATTGTCAGAATAATATTGACAATAATAAGTAGTTTGCTTGAGTAATTAATAATGTGAAATCCCCATGCTGAGAGAAGATATTGGATATCAGCCTAGGTTTGACATACTATTGTCATTTATTAGACTGATTGATTGAATGAGGAAGAAGAATGGCTGCTGTCTGTTAACATTAATCCTTATTTCTGAATTTTCATGTCCGTTTGTGTATTGATATTTAGTGATTGTGTGTTTAAATGTGCTTGTTTTTCTCTAAAAAGACTTCTAACTGTGAGAATTGGAAAGGAGTGTTACAAAATGGAAAGTTTCAATCTTTGCCCCTGAGCCCCATCCTAGCGTATTTCTGACAATGCTCTTGCTGTAAATATTGTTGCTAAAGATGTTTTCTTTTACAAAAACAGTAATGGACATTAGTTTCACAAATAAGATTGCACAGAGTACTCTCGGATTTGGGCTGAGATTGCTGCTGAGCAGCTCCCGTGGGTGTGCTCCTTCCATATCTAGTTTAATTATTACTAACGCATACAATTATAGCAGCTATTGAAGCCTTTGTAGGTAATAACATGACGTAGCTGACTGTCAGTTTGCTCATTGCACTATTTTTACTACAGAACCGATTGGAAGTATGTCTTCCATGGAGGTGAATGTGGACATGCTGGAACAGATGGACCTAATGGACATGTCTGACCAAGAAGCACTTGATGTCTTTTTAAACTCGGGAGGCGAAGACAATAATGTGCTTTCTCCCATGCTGGGTATGATACTAGTAATGACAGCGTGCTTAGAGACAAAGTGATAAATCGCCAGAATTGCTCTAACTTGTAATGGATTGTGTTATCTCATAAATCATTACACTTTATGTGGATTGAATATTTTACATTAGTGGTTTTCAAAACATTAGCATTTAGTTGCAGTACAAGAGAGCTTGCTGCAAAACTGCTTGATATTTCTGGACTGTCTCTTTTTTTTCATCTGGTTACTACAGCTTCATGTTACATTTGTCACAGTATGGGTAGGTGATGTATTACATACTGCTTTTAAGGTGCATTTTTCTCAATACAAAGTTAATACAGGACATTTTAACAAACATCAACAGAAGTTTGCGGTAATTAGGTTTTTATTTTTAAGACTGCTCGCTTAGAATATGTCCAGAATTTTGGCATTTTGAAGTAAATTCTGACCAGTTGTGTAATGTCTCTGAATATCTCTCACTGAAGATCTTACATGGTTCAACCCAGCAGTTCGTATGTATAAAACGTGACAATGCTCTGGAAGCTTCTGAATAGTGATTCCGATACTGCAGCTCTTTTCTGTAGCCTTCTTACTGCTAGTAATATTAGTTAAATTGGATTAAATTAATCTTAATCCAAAACTTTGTTTATGTGTTCTGATGAACAAAACCAGACTTAGGTTTTGGCAAGTTGCAGCATGATGAGGGATCTGCTTAAAGCAGGTAATTAGTAATACTGGATGCTTTATCCATGAAGGAAGTGTGCTTTCTTAATTAGAAACTTATTTTAGTAGCAAAATGCTTTTTCCCATAAGAGCCAAAATAATTTTTCTTGTGGGAGATGATGAAGCTCCTTTAAATGTACTTAGATTTCTTTTGAAAATACAGGTTGAAGTATTTTTATAAAACTACTTACAGTGAAGAAACAGTGTGCTTTAAATTCTATCCTATATTTTGGGATATGTAAAGAAAAATGTTTTAATAATATCCTGGGGTAATTTTCTTCCTCCCTATGTAAAGGTGACTTATTACCTGCTGTGGACATGAAAAGCTTACGGTAAGTAGTCAAGGCACGCTTGACTACTGAAGATTTTCATGTTTTATTGCAAAAACTAAATTCAGATGGCTGGTTTTGGATAAACATCCAATTCAGGCATTATTAAATTTAATCATTGTCTGAGCATGCGAGTAGTTACAGAATCAAGGACTATTTTCCCCTTGCTGGGTCTTTGGCAGATGTTGGACCAAGAAGCTTCATGTCTTAACAACAAACAGCGTAACTGGATTATCTAAGGAAGTGTAGAAACTGCTAGGTGTGGTTGTTTTTTCCTAAATAGATGTAAAACTTACTAGCCTTTGAAAAAAAATATGGAACTTATTTTGTGCTGTATTACAGTGTGTGTGTATAGATAGTGCCCTATCTAGGGCCAAGGAACTTGTGCCCTAGTATCAAGCCAAATACACAATAGTCTTCATAAGGTAAACTCTTCATTGTACTGTCAGTGGAGTACTGGGTTGGTAAGGGCAAGATTTGTTTGACAATTTTACTGAACACCACAGAATACAGGTAAGTTATTTTAGTAACTGGTAAAAATGAAAATTGGCTCAAGACATTAAAAGGTTTTCAAATTTGTCTTGCTATTAACATTGCCAGCTTATGAGCATTTTTTGCAGCATTTGTTTGCAATGTTTGCAACATTTCATGATAGTAAGTTGAACTGAAAAATTTACTCACCTCTGCCACTCCAGAAAACTCCTCCTCCGTGTGCGTGTTGTGTAAATTAATCTAATGCATGCTGGGGTGCGCAACATGAAGACAGGTGTCTTTTAAAAACGTCTTCCTGGTATCACTTGTGTTCAGTATAAATTCATGTACTACCCACAGAAGCAACTCAGTGGACCTGCTAGACATCCTGGACTGACACGGTCGGTCGGAGTGGCAGGGTGCTTTCAGTCCAGGCAGGCTGGTCGGCTGTCAGAGTCGTGCATGTGGTTTATCAACTTGGGTTCAAACTGGAGACCTGCTGAGGGCACGTTTCCCCCTGGAGTTCCTGGGTCCCAGAGAAGCTAAGGCAATGATGTCACATACAGGCCTACCTGCTGTCCAAGTTTAGGTCTGGAATTTAGGATTGCAGCTAGTTAGGGCAAGGAATGTGCCTGAGCAACAGTGTGGAGTACAACAAGCTCCTGTTGCCTCCAGGTGCTGTTACGACTCTTTTCTTGGTACAGTTTAACTCAGATACTTGGTCAGACTATGGGGACCAGTCACAAGGCAATACAGTGTGAACTGCTCTGCAAACAGCCTTAGCAGAGGTAACGTGTAGCGATCAGCTCATTTCCATCCGACCCTCTTGAAACCTTTTGATATAAAATCCCACAGAATTTTTAAGAGTATTTTCTCACTAAGGTTACTCAGTGCTGAAGCTGGGTGCCCTGACTAGGGGCACCCTTGTCAGATATAGTCGGGAAGGAAAAAAGGGCTTTATTTGGCAAATCACACAGAAAGAGCATTTAGATGTTTCCCTATTTTTCCTTCTTATTTACTGCCAGGAAGTGTCCAGAGAAGAGGATCTAAGAGAATTTTGAAATCTGAACTCCCAAACTGCAAACACTGTTACACTGAACTTGCTTAGAAGAAGTCTTTTTGCATAGGATATGGAGGAAGCATAGATTTAAAATCCCATTCCTGTGTGCTTGAGCTATGAATTTGTTTTGCTTCTGCATCTTCGTTTTTAGTCAAAACTGGAGATCACTATTATTGCCTATCTCCCAGTTATTTTTCTTCTCTTTTTCAACTTCACCCAGGTTTATTTGTGTCAATTCTGTTGAACAGTTTGTCTGGAGGATTTTCCTGTTGGTGATGATTCTCAGCACATGCTGAAGTCTGAACGGACTTTGGTAAAATCAGAGTTAGGAGTGTTAAGTGGTCTTGGCTAACAGGCGAAGTGGACATGAGCTATGCCTCTTAACAGAGTCAGGACTTAATACCACTGCAATCTCACCTTACTTGATCTCAAGCATTGGCAATACTAGAAGGAGCGAGAGACATACACACCATCAGAAACAAATTAAAACCAGCCTGTGGCTTGTATTTGAGATCAACTTCAGAAAAGCCAAAAGGCAGCTTTGTGTTTTGGGAGGGGTTTTTATTGGTGTTTTGCAAAAGAAGCAAACCAGCCTGAATGCGACTCATTAACCAATATTGAGCTCCGTTAATGTACTAACTTCTTGGTTCGCTTGCTGAGCCACAGCTTGATTTTCATTGTTGTTGTTCTTTTTCCAACTATAAGGGCCCGACTCCACCACCTACGTGCATGAGATAAGTCTTCAGGTTCCGAGCCAGTCTGAATTACGACAGAAACTGTCTTCGCTGTCATCAACCTGTACCGATTCTGCCAGTCAAGATGCAAGTGAAGGAGAGTCTCCAGTTATTCAGTCTGATGAAGAGGAAGTTCAAGTGGACACTGCTCTCGCTGCTGTAACTGAAAGAAAGGGCGCTTCTGATGTTAGTGATGAAAGTGACTCTCAGACTATTTGAATCTTAAAACCATATCCTTTAAGAATGACTTCTGAATGAATGAACAAGTGAATGAAGAGCTTGCCTGTGTAACAATTTGCTAACCAAGCGTAACAGCCAGATCTTTTTACTGAGTAATACCGCCTTTTTACAAAATTGCCACTCATGTGGAGGTTGGTTTTTAAAAAAGAAAAAGCGCCTAAAGCACACACACTTTAACAGCAGTCTTGGGGCTCAGGGGAGCAGTAAAACTGTTGTATATACTATGTATAAGAGAATTAAAGGGGAAAGATACAAGTCACTTTGACCACTAACCTTTAAATGGCTGATTGGAAATACTTAGACTTGATGTGTAATACTGAACCCAAATTGTTCCTTGCATGTTTTCGGCTGCTGCAACTGAAGATTTAGGATCCAAACCAAAACGAAAAGTTATTTTCTACTCTTTACTACCTACTGTCTACCTACTGCCTTTGTCTACCAATGCAGCAGTGTCTACTCTCTCACATTTCTTATGCAGGACCAATTTAGTTATCATAGGTGTTAAGGAAAAAAAAAAAAAAAAAAAAAAAAAGAAACTGAAAAGGAGGAGAGATGCGTATTGAAATGTTACACTCCTCGTGGAGCAGATATCTTAGCACTGTATAAACCTACTCCTCTTAAAATAAAGTATTTCTATCCCAACCATGTCTTTTACTTGATTACCCAAATATTTTATCCGTGACAGTGAACAGAGGAGACTAATTCAGAAAAAAATGGTTATTTCTACTGAGCACCAGTGTAATTTAGTTTTCTGTGGTAACATCTGTTTGACTACACTGATGCAAGCCAGCAATTTAAGGGAAATAATCCTGAATGAATTATAAATTAAGTGCGTACATTTTATAAACCTTAGGACCCATAGTCATCATCATCTCGCTGCTGTTTTTATCTGCAGTCATTTTTCTCTCTAAACGTGAGGTCTGAACATGTCTAACACCTGTTTCTTGTCAAGTCTCACGCTCTATTTGCAGGGACCTGCTCCCCTTTGAGAAGGCTCCTGGCTCCTGCTCTTCATGCACGGAGGGAAGGAATGTAATCAGAAACAGCGTAAGTAAAAGGATGAGCTGTGCTGTAGATCCCTTCCAAGGACCTGCCCTGGCAAAGCCAGCGGCTGAGAGTGAGGCATCTCCTGCTGCTCGCCAGCTGGGAAGCGGCCAGTTTACTTAAGGATTCACTCCATCTCCTGTTACCTGAGAAAGCGTTTCCTGTCCCCCCCTGGGAAATGAAAGCTAGACGCTCACCACCTACAATTAGAGACTTACTGTTTAACAAGGCATCTGTGGAAAGACATTTTTCTTGAAGGAGCTTACTTTACTCACTCACTTCCCAGAAGACAGACAAAATGTCCAAAAAAGTTTTCTTTTTTTTATTAAACCTCGTAGTACAAACCTGGAAAGTAAACAAAAAACTGGCAATAAACAACATGAAGTCTTTCCTTACAAGGAAAGAGAGCAGAGCAGCGCTAATAAATTAAATGTCAAACTGTAAGCCATAGTCAGAAGTTTACTGTCAAGAGGGAAAAGTACACAGCAAGGCCATAAAAACCAGACAACCACATTTGAAAACACTTGACTCTGTTTATGTTATTGTTAAATATTCCAAAACAGTTCAGTCTTCTGCAACAACAACCAACAAATTGTATTATAGGACTTTCCTGACAGTCACCACTGGCAAGCTCAGTGCAATATGGGTAGCTACGGTATTGTTGAATTCAATTACGAAACAAAACAGTTTGTGAAAACATTTTCCCTTTTTTATTCCACACATACTGTACACACAACCAGAAAAGGGCAACAGCTACTCCATTATTATTTTTTGTTGTTGTTCAGTGATGTAAGCAGCACTTATAAATGTTACAAGAAAAACCCTGTAAGCATCCAATCCAACCGATGAAGAAAGTGAAACGTAAGGCTTTTCTTCATCTTGTCTCTTCGCCATCCCTCCCCCCACCCCAAGAAAAGGCTCAAGTATTTAAAAAAATTTACAGGCATATGTACAAAAGGTGTGATTTTTCTTTTTGTTACAACATGAAGAGAAAAAATAGACAAGATGAAAGCAAATGCATTTTCACATTCAAAAGAAATATGCAGACCTGCTAGTGGCTCTAAATGTGATCATATAATGAAACAAATTCAAAACAAAAATTAATGCTTGACTGTGTAAAGGTGTGAAAAACAGCAGTGGAATGGAAATGGAATGTTAGAAAGATTGCACGTCTATGACAAAAGAAGCACTTATGGCTTCAATCACTTTTTTTTCTTTTTTCTTTTTTTTTTTTTTTTTAAAGGATGCTATTGAAGGGTTTTTGATAAAGTAGCCAACAGCACCAAAAAAATAACAGAATGGATTTCCTAATGAAATCAGGCACAGTTTTCCCTCACGTGACTCCTCAAGGCAGGCAGTCTTTTTTCCTCTTTTTTTTTTTTTTTTTTTTTTTTTTTTCTTTTTTCATTTTTATTTTTCCCCCTCAAAACAGATGCATAGTGATGTGCTGGTAAAAGAGAACATACTCCAAATCTCCTCCTTTTGCCTACAGTTAGGAAACAAAGTCCATCTTCAGCTGCCATAACCTCCCAAAGAAAGTGTGTATTCTCCAATTTAAAAAATTACAAAACTCATCTTGCCGTGACAGAATAAAAGACAGCCAAAGTAAAGCAATTTCTTTCAAGTTTTTGTCTCCTATCCCTTTTCTCTCTAGAAAAATCTGCTCACATGACTGGAGAACAAATTATAAAACACATCAAACTTTAACGTATTCAAAAAATGGGTTAAAAGCCTTTTTTTCACAGTTACCAAAAAGGCTTTTTATTTTTTCAGCCATAGGGACAATACAAATTAATATTTTATCAGCCCCTTGCCGGTTTTAAAACAGTGAACATACGGCAGTTTAAAAAAATCAGACTGCTGTTGTATCTATCTATTCTAAGTACAAAAAAAAAAATTCAACAGTTTAATGCTAAAACAAAATTAGTTCTCTAAAACCAGAAGAAAATCTTCTTTAGAGCTAGTGCAAAGACAGCTTGTATTCTACAGCAAGTACTCCAAACTATGGTATAATAATTACAAAAAATATATATAAATTGACAAAATGAGAGTGTTGGCATCTTCAGGATTAACTTGAAGCACTTTTGGATGAACTGGAGGATGAAAGCCTAGATGATGGCACGTCAACTGTAGCTCTCTTACGAGGTCCTCTTTTTGGTGTAGGCTTGCTGATACAGTTCTCAATGCTGCCATTTTTACCAGATACTTTTCCACAGATTTGATTGACTAGACTGATTATTTGTTCCTGTTCAGGAAGTGGGGAAAAAAAAACAAAACACAAATCAGCATCTGCTCTTTCTCCAGTCACTTCTGATCGACATAGATGTAGTGCTGCCTTTTTGACTGAAAGCACTTAACTGGGCGGGGGGTGGAAATCTATATATTTACAAACTACGCAGAAGCTTGGCTCATACGCTACTTATTCACAACCAGAGTTTTAAAAGTACTGTGTGGGAGTCCAAATACTGCCCTTGCTGAAGCTTCCCCCCACTCCAAACTTAAGGACAGTAATCAGAAGGATGAGAAACAGCTGAGCTTGGCTACTAAGCAAGAATGAACAAAGAAGCTGGGCTGCAAGGTTACTTCACTAGGGTCAGAAATGTTATTCAGATACAATTTAAAACCAACTACCAACTGCTGAACAACATTAAAAATGCCATGGATTTAAATCCACAGTAACATTGCTTTTAATTTACTATTTACTAAATATTTCTTTAAGAAAAAGATTCCACTTTGGCTTTTGCCACACAGCTTATCTCTCTCCCCATTCACAGCCCTCAAAAAAAAAAAAAATTCTGTCATAATAACCAGGTACACAGTTAATATCTTTCAGAAATGTAGAAACTTTGTGACAGTGGGTTTTTTTTTTTTTTACATTTGAAAAAATCATCATCATCCAGTGCTGAAGGAAAGGTTTTCTTGCCTTTTCCAACGCAGCCTAAAATACCTACTTTGTAACTACAAAACCTAGCAAAAATCATTATTGTATGTGATTCTGCTGGCAAGAGTGGCTTTGAAAATCTCAACAGAATTAACAGATCTGTGAAAACACAGAAAAATCTCAAGAATAACAGAAATACATTAAAATTTCTGAATAACTTCCTGAAACACTTCAGTGTTCATTGCACTACAAAGCCAGTCTCACTGTTGTCTGGGCTTCTTAGGTTGTACTTGTTTCTATCTGCAGTATCTGATACCCGAACAGAGTCTAGAATTAAAAATGAACAAATCCGCAAGGGAACGATCTGCCCCAGACTTACGTCAGCCTTTTGGTTTGTTTCCCCACACCTCTACACGTATCTGTCAGAAACTGCTGAGAAGCCCGTCGCAAAAAGCTTCTCGTACCAGCGCTGATCTCTAAGCTCATTTTGTAATGTCTCCCGCTGCTTCACTATCCACAGCTCGGGCTAAGAGTAAAACGCTCCCCCAGTCTCCATTGCCCCCATCCCCTCACAGGCGCTGGCTGCCCGCAAATGGAGCTGAGTGGGCATGTGGAGAGGCGTTGCTTGCCCGTACGGCCGTGTGGAGTCAGCCCAGACCCCAGGCACTGGTCCTGAATTGCCGGCTTGAGTTCTGTGATGAGCCATTCAGCCATTCCTGGCCCTCTCACCTACACGTCCTCTACAAGTTGCCTTAAAGAAGGGTCAGGCTGGACTGGAGTAAGCCAGCATGAACCTTCAGTTACCACCAGAGAGAGGCCATCCTAAAGCACACAAGTTATTGTAAATTAACCAGTCAAAGCGTAGCCTCGTGCTCTACGGCAGCCCAAAGCGTTCAAAGGCCGCTCTGTTCTGTTACAAATATTCACGCGGTTTATGCTTCAGGCTTCCTCTTTGTAATCATGTTTCCCCTCTATTTCTTTTACTTAGCTCATAATCAAGTGCCTTCTTCCCACACCAAAAAAAACCCGAACGGCAAAGCAGGGTCTCCTGAGGTCTCGGTAGGGCAGCTAAGTCTAGTCCCAAGTTTTCAGTGTCAAAGCTCACCAGCATCACAAAACTGTATTGTACAGACCTCATCATAACGGTACATCATTTTCAGTCCCCGACAAGACTTCTGTTTTTCCACATGCCGCAGGGCACACTCCAAGCAGAAGACAACGTTTTCATTCTCCTGTACAACCTATAAAAAATGCAAGGCGGGGCGGGGGGGGGGAGAAGTGCAGTAAGCTCCAAATTGTAGCCATGTTACATGCACGGTATTTCCCGTTGCAGTGTGTGAATTATTAAACCTGTATTTTACTACAAGTTAGTAGAAGGAGGCATAAACAAGAAGCATTACACATTGTGAAATGATTCAGAATGTGTAAGAATAGGAGAGTACATATCCCTTTTTGAATGCTAATGTTGGCAAATACATACAATTTTTAAAAAAAACACCAATAGTAATGAAGGCCAAATCCAAATAATGATATATGCATAAAGCTTTATTGGTATCTAATGTGTAGCCTAAAGATTTCCTGAAAGCAGCTGTTTCCCATTATTTTAAATGCTGTCTTGGATAAAATCGGAAGCTTAGCCACAGGATTCCTCAGCTACTGTCTTATTCAGCAGAGGTCACATTTGCTCAGCTGGCTACCTGCCAAGCCTACAACTCCAGCTTGGAATTTGACAACCGAGTTGACTTTTTGTCCCTTATTACTGTTAAGAATGACAAGGAAAAATCCTTCCCTCGATTACACTTACTCCAGAGCAAACAGACCAGAATTAAAGAGTTTTTGGTTGGTTGATTTTTTTAAACAAACTCATTTTAAAGTTACTTCAAACTAGTCCTGCTTAAGCATGTCTTAGCTGCTCAGTGGTCTAAAGACACGTATAAACTCAGCATATTCTGTCCCAGGGAGGGGAACAGCTACAGCTCATCATTTAACAGTTACATTGTATTTCCATCAAAAACCTAACATTTGTAACAAAGAAAACCCAAAAGATGACAGAAAAAAGGACTGAATATGGACTCACACGCACTGTATTATGTTTATTTAAATACCTGATCTTGGAATCAAGTGGTACATAAGGTTGTGGGAGGGGCTTTTGGTATTTTTAACGAAATAATTGCTGTATTTCTAGGTGTTCTGCATACAGCTAAAAACCTGAAAGTGGCACCACGGTGGTTAGCACACCTTCAAAAGCCAGTAAGCAATTACTTCTAAAAAGAAAGAAAGCTTATGGGCACGACTTCTATTTTTGAACAGACAGGTTGGCAAACAGCATCTCAGCTTGATAGATAGGATACATCTACCCTGCAATTTGGCTTGCAGGGAAACTGTCGCAGCACGGGCTGTAGCTGCATGCCTGAGACTCGGGGCATACGTTTGAGTTGCTAGCTCATCCAGCGAACTGTTCTGCTGTGACCTACTACTACTGGCAACCTGCAGGTATCTGTGTTGTTACCCCTCCTAGTGCAATGCAGACACGCCTGTGGGCGGCCGAGAGCGGCCGAGTGACTGGTTTATCCCTTCCTTACAGGGGGAGGGAAGCTAGCTGACACTAACCATTGTCTTCTGTCACCGCTGCCCAAGGCGATAAATGTTCTGACACAAACCAAACTGACGTCTGCGCGTCTTGCTTGGAGCGCACGAGATGGCTCTGTAGTCACGTGCTGTCTCTCAAACGCTTATACTCCACTACAGTACGTCAGAACAGGGGGGACAGCACCCCAGCGATGGCAAAGCATTTTACTCACCATGGAAAGATAGCACAGGTGCTGACAAATCTGACATCTCCTCTCTGACGTTTCTAACTGCAACCACTTTCGAGGCTTTTTCTTTCCATCCATCCCCGTGCTGCTGCTGTCGTGGCTGCCATAGCGCGCTGAAGAATGGAGACCTGCCTCATAAAGCTGCCGCCGCTGCCTCAGCTCCGTGTCCCTGTGAATGTTTTATGCAATTAGACATTGGCATCGCCTCAGACCACCACAAAGCCACATATAATCGCCCTTTTACCACAATCATCACCGAAACCTTAGCTCCACACAGCAAAGCCCTGAGTGTTGTTGGAGGTTGGTGCCATTCCCTACGCATGTTGAGAGACAGCCAGCACCACAGAAATGCTGCCTAATTGCAAAAGCTATCTCCGGATTTTAACAGCGACCACTGTATCAAGCCAGTGGTTCTCAAACTGCTCCACAGAGAACTGGGGACTGCTGAGTACTTCCTGGAGGTCGATGGTTGCTTGGGGCCATGTGGAGAGTCGGGAGATGTGGCTAACATGACTGTCATTCCTGAAGTTGCCAAAAGCCACCCTGAGGAGGAGGAGCCGTTGCTGTCAGGAGTAACATAGCCACCTTCGTCAGGAGGCAGAGATGAACCAAGGACCTGCTGCCGTGAGGTGCTTCAGGCAGGAAAGGGGGAGCAGGGCAAGTGATCGTGCCAAAAGACGAAGATCTTGCTGTACACCCAGGGGAAAAAGAAGGAGATGTCAATTTAAGAGCAAAGACTAAGCCCTCTAGCCGCCCTTCACCCACGGCGTCCGCAAGGTGGACAATACTTCCTATGCTGAACTATACAGCATTAGGAGAGCAGGTCGGGTTGGAGCTGAGTGGAAGACAGCAAGTGTGGAGTGCGCTGAGCAGATGGAAGGGGAGAATAAAAAAGCTCACCACCACACACAGCTGAAGATGGGTGGAGAGCCAAGCTAAGCAAATGTCATGGGCAAAGTGAGCAACCAAGGCGGATCAGGAGAGGAGGCAGCGAAAGACACAGAGCAAGCAAGCGAAACAAAACAAAGGGGAAAAAAATGTGGTACAGTGTTCCACTTTGGTTGGGTTTTTTCAGGTTTTGTTGTTCAGGATTTTGGTTTACATAAGCAGCCACAAGAAGGACCGATATCCTCCAGAGAATTCCAACCTAAGCATAAGAACAAGTTTGAGAACCACTCTGATAGAGGTCGATGTGATGGTCTAACAGCAAGCACCAACATTTCTGTTTCACCTTTCGCACTTGCAGACTTTTCCTCTTCAAGGGAAAAAAAAAAAAAAAAAAAAAAGCACTTGGAAGTGATTATTCCCACAGGGGAACCAGCTGCAGGTAAAGCAGTCAGCACACCTCTTTGTATTTCTTTCTGAACACTAAAACAACACATGGGCTGTTTTCCCCTTCAGTATGTCACTGGAAATTTTCCAAATGAACATGCTAGTTAGTTAAATACAGTTTGTAGATTCCATTCATCAAAACTTTCTTGACATCTCGAGTACCAGTTGTCACAAACTTGAAAGATAGGTAGCAACTACATGGTAGGGAACAAAAGAGAAGATCATTACACAGGAAGCCAGGCAACATTATATTTTCTTTTTTTACCTATCTTAAGAGAAATCCTAAACATGTTTCCTCAACACTGGAGAGAAAAAGGAGTGTGAAGTTTTTTTTCTTTAAAACGTTCAAGTTCTAATGCAAGATGCATTAGCACCCATGCACAAGCTGCTCGCTTATTCAGTGGTTTATATCAAGACAACTTTCTGCGTACAAAGTACCTTCTGTAACTGTAGTGTAACACTCTTGATGCTGAAGACAAGGGTTCCTGGTGCGAAACCCATTACAGGCATGGATTGACAGCGGCTACTGATGCCAAGAGGTTGAAAAACTGAAGAAAGGTATTTAACCACTTGGTACCATGTAGCTCACCTAATGCATCAGGAAATCTTGACTCTCAGCATGAAGAATCAACAAAATAAAAACCCAAGGCAAACTGTAGTTTTAATTCTTTGATGGTGCCCAAAGTAGGGAATTCTTAGAGTAAGACATCCTAACCACGGGCACTCTCACATCAGATACAGCCAAGGAAACTGCTTCTTCCACTTGTGGCTGTCTTCAAGTATGTTTGCTGGGCTTTTGCTTGGTTAAGTAGGTGAAAGACATGCGTCTGAAATGGTTACTTACGTCATCCACCTCTGGAGTCTGTCAATGAAAACAAAATAGATACAACAGGCCCCCAATTCGTTACCTGAGCTCTCCAAGAAGTGATGATATCGTACTCAGAGTCGGTCCGTTTTCCTTTTTTGCTTCCGCTGTTGCAATCTGATAAAGCAACTTTTCCATTGAAAATGGTTTGGCTATACGTCGTCTCTTCATTTCCTGGGACAGAAATTGCCAAATTAGTTCTTAAGCAAATTTGAAAATAAAAAGTTATGAAGAACTAATTCAATGTGGCAAAAAGTAGCCTTTTAAAACAGCCAAAAGTAAGAGCTTTCTATAGGCCAAATTAAACAAAGTATTTACATTCCTAACTTACACCCAGCACCTAACTTCATGCTGAAATAAATGCTGATTATAAATCAGTCCTTTCAGTGGAAAGCCAGGTGCCCAAGTACTTTGCTGAATTGGGTCTTCCTGTTGAAAGGACTATGAAAGAACATTTTCTGCACGTGCTTTACGTGAACCAATGCCACAGAAAAAAACCTCGAAAACCTAAACCAAACGCATGCCAACAGACAGTCACAATCAACTGCTTTCTCGAAGAATACCCTAGTGCCTTTATATCTAACATTTTGATCTCATTCGAAGTCACCAGCAGAGAGCAAAAAAGTATCTGCAATGCATGATGGCATATATGCTAAGAAATCAATCTGTAGGCTATCTTTTCTTAATATGCTTTACTGTGAAATTTAATGCAGAAAAAAGGTAAGCAAAGCCTGCATATACAAAGAGAATGAAGCAAACTGCTAATACTCCAGTGTCACCACATTTCGGGTATACCCCTTTTTCAAAAAAGAAAATTAAACTTCATCAGTGGAAAAGACAACGACAGGAGAGATGTCAAGAAAATGAGAAAAATAAAGAGAAGGATGCCCAGGCATAGATTAGCATGCAGTTCACTACAGTGGAGGAACCAATATCTCAAAATTCTCTCCCTAAAAATTTGTTTTTCCTGTGGAGTCCAAGAGGAGTAACCCAACCACTTAAGCTGAATAACACACTCTTGGCACTCTCAGCCATTCAGTAAGATCTAGCCTTCTGACCTGCTTGAAGCCCAGGACTGCTGTTATTTTGCATTTTTTAAAACATCAAAAAGACAACAACTAGCAAAACAGGCAGATGTCAGGGAAAAGAGACAACAGGCAAAAGAGGGGGTTTCAGTTCTGCTCAGTTTTGCCTGCTACCGATTCCGTGTAAGCTTTTAAAGCTACGGCTTTCATTCCTTTCAATATGAACCAACCGATTTTGGTAGCTTAAATCCTTTTGATAATTCTTACAGTGTAGGCAAATTCCTTGATTTACTGTGCAGTTGGGGAAAGTCTAGAGTTTTCCCACTGTCTGAAGAGGTATGTTTTGTTTTATATAGTTAGAGAGTTTTCAAATAATGCTAACACTGGAGCGTAATGTGAAGGTGCCGTTTTGGTTAGGAGATAAGCCCACCAAATACCTACTCGGCACAAACAAAACTGAAGATTCATCTTTAACCTTAGGGTTTTTTCACCCTGTGTTGTAACACTAATTACATGCTCTTAGTACTTCTTTTATCAGAACCGACGTATCATAAAATGCGTCATTTTTAATAGCACCGATTGCATGCATTGAAGCGATAACTAATATATATATCATAAAATGGATTAGTAACCTTTGCTGACCAAAAAGCTTTCAGAAGAGGGTCACAGGTAAGAAAAGCCTTCTTCAGAAGGTTCTGCTAGAGCCTGCCTGGGGTCAGAACGGCTGCACTTTTAGGAGTGGTATGAGAAGTTTTGTTGCATGTCAGATTTGCTTTGCATATTGTCCGAGGCTGCGTAAGAACAGCCGCTCCAAGCCAGGTCAGAAGCCCGCAGAGGCAACACGCGCAGCCAGGATAACAGGCCACAGTGGGTGGCTAGAGAAAAAAATGAGGTACGCTCCTGCTGGCTGCCAGCTCAGGGACCTCCAGAGCCCGAGACAGGTCTGTGCTGCGTTTAGCACAGCGCACTGGATCTGTGCATTTATCTGAATTGCTGAATCCATGTACATTTTTCTCTTCCACACAGTAGTGAAATGCACAGATAAGTATTTTGAAACAGACTTTTGTTTGCTTTTGACCTGCTGCCTAATCATTTCTTTTAATGACATGTTTTTCAATGTTATGAGAGACAGGGAACATTCATATAATTATCGTCACCCTGCCACTTGTGATCCGATCTCACTATTGTGTATGTGTCTCAGTCATTAATTTTCCAGGCTGAGTAGTCCTCTTATATTTAATGCACAGGCTAATTCATATCTTTAATCATCAATCTCTGCAGTGCTTTTTCTAGCTCCTCTATATTCCTTTTGCAATCAGGGACTCAGAATTGCACAAGTATTCAAGCCACGGCCATACCAAGAGCCTACACAGTGCCATAGCGATGCTTCTGCTTTTTTCTCTAGACTCTCCTTGCAATTCCTAACATTCAAGATTTTTTTTTTTTTTTAACCTCTCCGGAACACTTGGTTGGCAGCTCCATAGGAATCCAAGACCTTTTTTCTCAGTACCAAGAGCTCATTCAGAGCCTGTCGCTGTGTCTGTCAAATTAGCGCTATTTTTTCTCCTGAGTCATTTAAAATTTATCAACCCATTTTCTCACTCAGATCACTCAGTATCATGAAATCTTTCTGTAACATCTCATAGCTTTAATTTTTGCTGTCATTAGCATTAATAGCCTCAGTAAGAGGATTAGTTTTGCTATTCACTTCCCTTTCTAGGTTATTTATGGACACGTTGAACTGTACTGGTCCTACTACAAATTCCTGAGGAATGCAGAAAGAGACCTCACTCCATGATGAAAATGGACCATTTGTTCCCATCCTCTGTTTCTCTTTAAATCAGTTACATTTTTGGTGCATGAACTTTCCCCCCCAACCCATGGCAGGTTAATTTCTTTAAGAGCCTTTTCTGAGGAGCCTTGCCAAAAGTCTTCCAGAAATGCTCACAGGCTCTGTCAGCTGGATCTCTTTGGCCATACACCCTTCCAAAAGTTTTGAGGCCTGGGGGCTGTGACCTTGCTGCAAAAGCCATGTTGACTGCCCTGGTCACATTCTTTTCTACATTTCTTTTTTCTTTTGGCTTTTAGCAAGTTGTTCTTTGAAATCTCTTTTTGGTCTGCATTTGTGTGTATTTACATGCATCTTGCTAGGGTGGTTGTTTTATTTTCATTTTCATCTTCTGGACACAAAAGTGATTTTTTTGGTCTCATTTCAAAAAGACTCCTTTCTCCTGGTGTTTCACCATGCCAAGTTTAGTGGGGGTTTGCCTTTTGAAATTTTTCTTTTTTTTGCTAGGCAACGTGCATGTGTTGTGAGCCTCTACCATGGCATCTTTGAACAATTTCTATGCTGCATGCAAACACTTAACCCTTCTTTCTGCATTCTCAATTTAACAAGCTTCCTTGGTATTATGCGAGGCTCTTTTGAAATGAAACACCACAGTAGTGGATATTTTGCGTTTTACTGCTCTTTCAAGGTTCTTAATCTCTGCTCACCATCACAGTGCAGCTATTTGATAGCGATGTTTTGAACTGGGCTCCACCATTGCTGAGAAGCGAGACAACAGTTTCTTCTCATGTGGATTTCCTGACTAGCTGCTCCCTGAAGCCATTTCAGTTCTGGCATCACACACCAACACAACCACTGTCCTAGCTAGGGGGAGGAGACCAGCATTGCCCATTATCATCCTACGTCCTCTCCTCACAGCTTCTCTCATCTCCTTGAGTATAATGCAGGCTACATGTACACACCATCCAGGATGGTGAAGCAGGAGGAGCGGATGTGCAGCGTGATACAGTTGATGCTGAGGACCCAAATGTCCACAGGACGTGTGTGTGTAAAGCCGATGGCTTTACTTCAGATCAGTCTGGCCTGGTCCTGTGGCCATACCACCACCAGTGTTTGGAGGACATCAGGTGCACTTCTGGAGCACCTCTTCCCCTTTGGTTTCATCTGAAAGCAACCCAGTCTACTCAGGCTAAGACAGCTCTGTGATAGGAACCAAGGAATGGTAACTGTGTGGCGTTTTAAAGGAACATTCCTCACCCAAACTAAAACTTGCTGGGGGAAAACATACAAAGCCCGTGCCAGCATCTTGGCTGGACAGTCAGGAGCACAGTGCTAATACCATGCTTTTCCTCTTTAAGATGGGAAGATCAGTGTACACGGATTCTGTCACTGGTGACAGAGCTCAACCTATTTGACTGTAAGCTCTCTTCTGCGTGCAGCGGTGCTGCTCCAACTGGATGACTAACTCCATCTTTCCTAAGTACTTCTTCCTCTTGTATTACGGCACCAGCTGAGTCTCTTCTTTCCACCAAGTTTCTGGTAGGCCCTATACCACCAAAGCCCTCTTTCAAAACCAGACATTCCTTCTTATTTCCAAACCTCTAGACCAGAGGGCATTCATTTAGTCCAATATTCTCTTTTCCTGTTTCCTAAATGAGTTTTACTGCCTTTGCCCAATGCCTTATTTGATGATATGGAGTTACTCCTTTGCCACTCCAAACACAAACTCTTCCACCACACCTGTAAACCTTCTCCTAATCCTGACTTTAAAATTTCAAGGGCTCTTAGGGTGTTTTTTAAAAGCCAGCAACCTGGTTCCACATATGGTTTAGGTGAAACCTGTCTGTCCCTTTACACAGGCTTTATACAAACTCCTTTATTCCAACAATTATCCCAACTCCTTATAAACTGAAATCAATGCAATTTCAGGTGCAGAATTTCATTTTTCCATATATTAAAGGAGATTGAGCAGTCATTCAATAAATGAAATGAAACAACATTGTTTAGTAATATAAAGAGAGTCACTCTAAAAAAAAATCAGGTCACAGTATCACAGAATGAAAACAAAGTTAATGTATCAAACAGCTGAAAACTGTCAATATTGCTGTCGAGCATGGACAGACAGGAAGGTACAGTTGTTTGTCAGAGAGTTCATTAACAGTCCAAAAGGGGAATCTTACTCGTTACACAGAACTTCTCACAACCTCTGAAAAGCACAATCCCGGCCAGCCTTTGAAAATGGCAAAGTGCCTTGGCAAAGTGAAGGAACCAAGGAGGAATTTCCAAAATTTAAGGGAGGTAAGAACATAGGATAGTTTAAGGAAAGAAGAAGGAGACGGGAAAAAAAAGAAGGAAAAGAACAATGTAGTAGGTGTTTCCAGAGTTATTTTGATACAAACACGTATCTGTGGTTCTGTAAAGTTTGTGAGAGCTGTGACTTCGCTTTCCAAGGTAGGTTATCATAGATTGGAATTTGCTGGATTTTCAGTCGGCTTATATTTACCCAGTGCAAAGCTCTTAAAAATTAATCAAAAGAAACTGTTCTTCAGAATTTGAGGCACCAAGAAGAGCTTTTTAATTGCTGCATAGTGATTTCTGTCTCTTACAGGAGTGGCATTTTCACAATATCAAACAAGTGTTCAGTAGAGCAATAAATACAGCATATGGAGTTAATATAATTGTGTACCTTCATACAGAAAAGGTTAGCTCAGGAGTCTCATTCCTTACGTACACACATTTACAATTCCCACCTTCCCCCAAAATAAGTCTGTAATAAAATAACCTTTAATTTCAAACTAAGTTAATATACAGTTAGTATAACCAGGCTGGAAGAATTCCATTAACCCTAAAGAACCAAAACCTAAGTGTGGACATATTACATTTACTTACTTACTAACCGCTTGGTCTGAAGCTGTAAATGATAATTTACTAGTGGCTTAGCTATAGAACACTACCAAAATAGCATCTGTAACCCATAGTGGTTTTTGAGGAGGTTGAGGACATGTAAATGACAAATATTCTTTGTCCGAGAACAGAGAAATGTAGCCAAAATCATGATGATCGGGCAATTCACCTGTTTGTTTCTGCAGGCAACCTGCCTCGGTTGTGTGAAAAGGGAACGGGAAGTTTATTTACAGCTTAGTATCAGATGGGCTGGTCAGTGAACCTAAAGATTTTCAAGTTGATTAAAATTGAAATCGCCCTGATCAACAGCTTTTCCTGAATGAAGGGGCAGAGAAAGACAAGCAATACAGCTGTGAGTATTAATTGACTCTGCCTATCATAGGAGCTAACAAGCACAGTTATTCAGATATTTGCACCTGAGATTCTAATAGTTCTAGAAAACATCACTTAAAAAAAATTAGTAAGCATAATACAATATATTAGCTCTGAAGGGATTTCTGAAAAGCTTCCTCGCAAACTGGTCTGCAGGCATAACAATCTTCTGAATTTTTCAAATATACAGAAGGTTTTAGCTATCAATTATCACCCCTGTCGCTTTTCTGAAAACACTGGATCGTCTTAACGCCTTGCAGAGCTTTTTCCTTTTTTTATTTAGTAGTCCACAAAAATAGACGTAATTGTACTAGTCTCACAATGCTATCAATCCTGGAATGTCTGCTTTGCTGTCGTTTTAGATGGCAGGGCCGTGAATCCATTTTAACTCCTTTTCTCAACTTACCTTGGCTGTTTTAAAGCCCATACTTGTCCACTGGGTGGTAGCAAAGTGCACTGTTTCAGAAACACTATAGCCACAACACACTTTAGACACAAAGGATCCAGGAAAACAGACAACAAACTGCCCGCTCTGCTGTACAGTACGGTGCACCCTGATCCCCTCCTTACACAAGATTTCTGGGGAGATCTAGAAAGACATAACAGCAAAACAAAAAAAAGAAAAAAGGAAAAAAAAAATCAGAACTTTCTTTTACAGTTATATCCCCTTCCTTGCTGGGTACTGCCACATGCTACTTGTTGTGAAGAAAAGATGTACTCTGCTAACAGCTCAGCTCTGTTTGCTTTCTCTCTTCCCTTCTGCACATGCTGAAGCTCAGTGTTTGGAGTGAGAATTACAGAAGTGGCTCTTATGAAACCAACAGTTTAAACTTTCACTTGCCAAACAGTCTCAAACACAAAGCCTCAAAACAATATTATCTACTACTACAGAAAGTAACGCAGGCCATTCTGTTTTCCATCTCGATCTTTTCAGACTTGGCACTGAATCCACCTTGTTACTGCACTTCTGTTAGAGACATTAACATGGATAGCTGAGGGAGTTGTTTTTATTGTGGGCAACCAAATTTATACTGAATTGCACTAAATGGAAACTGTTATCCACAAAATAAGCAAGAGAGCCAAAAATTCTTTGAAATCCTGTGAAGTATTAGGCTTCTCATATCCATGCTGGCATCATAAAATGTCAATCATGGCAGATTAATTGATTACAAAACACTCCCTTTGTGAGGTTAAATACATTATGGACAGTATTAGAAATGGACATTTATTGCACTGTCACATTAATTTTTGTTTCAACATTTTAACACGTGAGCCTTGCTAGAAAAATGCTGTGTGGGTAAACACTGCAAGTAGAAAGTAGCCAGATTTTCACAACAGCCTCTGCATCATTGCAGTGTAAGACAAAACCGAAATAAATCCCCAACCAACCAGCCTTCTGATTCGCCTCGGGTTCTCAAATGGGAATAGCTCTCCCAGTGTTAACCTACCATTACATTACTTTCAAGCATTTCCAGCCCTGGAGTGCCATTGGCTTGCAGCAGGGTATGTACCACATCATCAAGTTTGTTCTCCTCCGCAGCAGGGATGCAATACCTGTTGTTTTGTCAGAGGAAAAGAGAAAGATTTACTGTGGAGTAAATAATGGTCCACAGCTACACAGTAACAGGCAATTCAGACCAGGGCATTGATTAAAAGAAAGAAATTAAACACAGGCTTTCCCGCACAGTTCTTTTCGTAAAACACTGAGCATTCACGGAAAGCTGTTTATTTAGACTCAGTCTGATGGTCTTCACTAGATGCCAAAGGACACAAAATCCCCCAAACAGACACGTGAAAACTCAGCGCTCTGTAGAATCAGAGGAGAGAAATCAGCAATAGAATGATGTTCATTTTAATGGCACCAAAACAGCTAATTATGGGCAGAACTTTGCCACTTGTAACCACCAATATATGTTCTGCTATCTTTATCATAAACGGTTGTATTTATTACCAACAACCAAAGGATCTTTTTATTTAATAATGCTTGCTGTTCTTAACAATCAAGAAACCACAAATCACCTTTACTGTTAGTACACAAAGTAGCCTAAGACCTTCTTGCCTTGCTTACTAAACAAATCCCACATCCCTCCCCTCCCTTGCAACAAAAGAAAGACCTAAGAGCAGCCAAAGCAGCAAGAGAGATTTAAAACTCTGCTGGGTATATGCCAAGCTGCACATCCTCCTCTCCTTAAAAAGCCAAGGAAGCAGCTGTCCTCTCTGTGCTCACTGCCAGCAGTGCTCCCTACACAGAAGTGACAAGAAATAACCCAGGAATCTCAGGTCTAGATTCACACATCCAGAGAACTGCTATTTTGCTGGATGCAGGGTGGCGATATGGTGACAATTAGCCGCTACTCTTGCTTGCACCCTGCCAGAAGGGTAATGGTTTACGTCCACCCAGGAGATACCTGTTCCCAAGATCTGGTAGTTGGTACCTGACAAACCGAGCAGCACAGCTTGGTGGGAAACGCAGTGCAAATCCTGGCATTCCCAAACCTGCCCTGAGTTGCTGCTGCACTGGGCTTTATCTGTGACTACTCTATTTGGATTTGTTATGCTTGGGCAAATAAAAAGCATCTCCAGATTTATCATGACTTATCTCAGTTCACTTCAAGCAACGAGATCTCAACCTGGAGCCCATCCGCGCCCATGCCAGACACACATGCACACACACAGAGACGTTTTCCCAAACTTGGCAACCAGAGTAGAGAAACAATCTGGAAAGATTTTGGGGAAAGGGTGCAGTTTTCTTGTCATCCATCCAGTCTCTCCACCAATTTCATAAAGCATTCTGCTGGCCTCACAGACCTTGTCAGGATATTTGCTTATAACATGCACTAATATTAACTCCGTATGCGTCATACAGAGTTATCCTGCTTGATTAGTCTGTAGGAGGCTGTACTTCCTATGATTGAACATCTCCTTACTGTTCACTGTACTGATGATGACTTTGATTTGTCTTTGTTGATCTTCAAGCCGAGAACCAGAAGAGATGACAATACCTACTCATACAGCTAATTGTAGCCACAATAAGGGCTCTAGTACACCTGGGCAACCAGCTCATATAGACTGACTCCTTACCTATATATTGACAATTATTAGGACCTTGCCAAGAAATCCTAGGGTTATAGAGAGGTGAAGATAGGCGCAGGAAAAAGCACAGTAAGGATATGTGAAGAGGAGGGCAACACAGAAGTGCATGCAACTATCTGACCACCAGCAGGACTGAGGCATATGCTGCAATTTCACTCACTCACAATTCTTCATGTACCTATAAAAATGGGAAGTGAGCAGCCAGCATAGACTTCCAAGTGTCTTGGGCAGAACAAGATTTTCTTCGATGGACGGGCACTGAGGATCCTTCCTGAATAAAAAGGTTAGGTCATTGACCTCTGCCCTGCACGAAAATTGAGTTCTCCTGTGTTTCCTCTTCAGGAGGTAACTGACAGATTTGACAGTGACCTGAACAATCTACAGGTAAATGAAGCACCACTGATTTTAGCACCACAGGGATCTGTCCTTGGAAGAGAAGAATTCTGGATGCTGGGTGGACTTGGCAAGACAGAGGAGAGCTTTGGTGCCCAGTCGCCTGCTTTGTTATCACTGAAGCACCCACTGAATGCAGTGCTGTCAGGGCTACTCCAGATACTATACCAGACCTAGAGTTATTAAATTAATATTTTCCTCAATAAAGTTGGGCACTTTATTGCAATATTAAAAGTTGTAATGAGTTAATAATGCACATTAGCCTGACACTTCAGCCTGGCAACCTTGCCCAAGAATAGCTTTTACAGACAAATGAGTTTCCTGTCTTCCTTCTTATGAGTTATTCCTGCTTACTATCCATATTTCATCAAGGCAGTGATCACAAGTACACCTGAAGCTAGATACTTATGTGTATAAGTAAGCCCCTCAAGAAAAAGCAAATTACTTCTTTGGTTTTATTCTTCTTGGCTTGGAAAAACAGAAAGAGTAGGCTTTCCTAAAACTCTGGCTGGCTGCATTCAAGTCTTTTCAATCCCAAAAGGCACATGTTTTGACATGCACAGTACGAAGAATGGCCTCAGAACTTAATTACGGGATTCCTGAATGTCTTCTATTTGTAATTTACTGTCGTTTAAGACTAGATGAATGTCAGAGAGAGATACAGACTCACCTAAGGTTGAGGACAACGTGGTTTGCTTAGCAATTTGTTCTGATAGTATACTATTATAAAAGATTACAGATTCCTGACTCACAGAAGAGGGGGAAGAGTCATGAAATGCCCATGACAGAAAGTGACAGAAACTCCCAGGTCTGCAGCATAACCCAGTGTTTACCTTTACCCCTTGGTATGATCACACACATTTCTCCAACTTGAAATATTTAGAGACAGGAGCTCCTGCTTTAATGGTTTCCTCCAAGATTCCAAATCCTTTTTTCTGGGCCATGTGCTTTCCCAGAGACAGCTGGGTCAGCACTGCTGATATCAGCACCAGCTGAGAAATATGGGAGTTAAAGGTCAGGGCTGAAGCACACACTTTGCAGGTGAATGAAGTGCAGTTGACACTGCCACTGCCACCGCAGGGACTCCTGGATGCAAGGGGGTCCTGCAGGCCTTCTCCTGTCACACCACACAAGGAGCCAAAGGCTTCTGTAGCCCAGGGTTCAAAAAGGAAACTGCTGAAAGGGAACCAGCTTCTCACCTTTGCAGGGGGGTACCATTTAAACGTTTCTTCTCCATTTATTGCATTTTCTCTGATCAAGAAAAACAGTTACATCACTTATCATTCATTGTTCTCACTGATGATCCTCTTGGGTATTAACACCAGTATCACAGGAAGCTGGCAGAAAGGCATGTGATATGCCAGCAGCACCTGCTTCCGCTAATCCCTCCATCAGCTGTTGTACTTCCATTGTAATCTAACTCATCATTGTCTGTAGTAGTATGTATGCACTGAATTCAGGAAGGATTCACCGTGTTCAAAACCACTGATAAGCTGAGCATTAAGTCTATTTGCACGCAGTGTCTACAAAATATGAAATGTAGCTAGCAGCTAACTGGTCGTGTCCACACTGAGACACTAGAATGATGTGTGTAATCATATTAAAAATTGATTATCATATGATAATGAAAAAATATTCATAGGAGAGAAAATACTAGGGACCTGGCAGATACAGAGTTCAAGATATTTTGTGTAAAATAAGAAAGTGGTGCCTATTTAGTCAGACACACTCCGATTCAATCATTCTACAAGTGACAATATGGAGCTAGTTTGACAAGTGTGTCTCTGTCAGACTAAGGAAAGCCTACCTTGACTAGCTGTCATTTGGCTTCCATGTCATGAAAACTTTACATAGATTAAACCCTATGTCAACCAGAAACAGTTTACTGCTAAATATCTCAGAACAGAGTGTGGAAGATGAAGCGAAACTTTTCTTCCAGGAAAGGGTGTTTCATTACTTAGGTTTATACTACATTTTCCCATTAAAACTGTAATGACACACACTGGACCTTCTAGGTGAGATTCATTCATGCAAAAGGTACTACACAAGCTGCCTACAGACAGCCACTGCTGTGAATGCAAAGAAAACAAAACACAGGAATACCTACCAAATGCAATCAGCACCAGTGTGTAAGTAGTCAATGTATGGAAGGTGATTTTGGTCTCGAGACCAGCATGAGGTAGAAAAGACCATGCCAATATTTAGCCAAGGAATTGTCACTCCTAAAACAGAGAGATTGAAAATTAGTTTTGAGTAACTGTAGTTTCTAATTAAAAGACAGTGTGAGAGGGCATTTCAGTTGAAAATCTTGTTCCACCCGCGAGCTGACCCTTAAGTTTTAAGTCTTCCTACCAGAGTGAATAATTCACAGAGAATAATTTAACAAAATCAGCATTTTCCACTAACAAGTATCTACCAGCCAGTTACAGTGCCCTTGAACATATTTGTTTTATAACAGCTGTAAAAATTTCTTGTTCTTTAGAAAATTTACAAATACCCATAATTCAAGCCTAATGCCATTGATTGGAGGAGGTTGCTTCATGTTGTCAAGCATACACGTACTTGTAAACAGGTATCCTGTTTCCCAGCTGGTTTGTTCAGGCTCAACACCTGCACAGGAGACTAATTATGCTCTGTAGCTTCTGTATGTTTCTACCAGTGAATTGCAACGGCACACATGCAGCTGGAGCACTCGTGACCATTCATTTAGAAAACTTATGTGCTGCTTTGCCCAGTGCTACAGACTATGTTTGCAAGTTGCACAGCTCTGTCCTTCATCACCCTGACACAAAGCAAGAACACTGATGCACTGGCAACAAAGGAAAGGGATACTGCAAGGACAACTGGTTCCTCCCGGGTACACGGTCTCAACTATTCATTAATTCTTTATCTGCACACCTGCCTTCATTCCTTTAAATGCCACCTGCTACACAGAACTGCGTGTCTACCCGGTCAGCCGGCGAACAGAGGGGCCAGAAAGAGGGAGAAGACTTTGGTGACACCATTACCACCTTTAGAAGATACTTACACCTGCTAGGAACATAGGAAAGAGACTTGCTTACCAGGCACAGCACCAAGATGTCGCAGGATGGATCCTGTATTATTAGGAAGGACTGTGAGGTTCCACCCATGCCTGTTTGAGGGGTGACACAGAGGCAGACTCATGTCAGTGCACATTCCCGGGGCCAACACCCCCAGCGCCAAGCTGCCCTGCCGGCCTCGTGTCCTCACTTCCACTCAGCACAATGGGGCAGCTGGCACGAGTCAACAAAGCAGGTGGATTTGGTGATCTTACCTTGAAAATGGTTCAGATTTTCCCACGGGAAAGCCACTCCCGTGGGTGTTGGTATCTACTTTTCCACAATGCACTGCTACATGGCAATCTTTCTGTTCCACTATCCGCCAATATTCTTGCTGTGGTAAGAGAAAGTGGTAACGCATTTTTAATTCACTGAACAAGGTATCTCTCATTCAAATATAAACCCCAGAAATTTACAGGGCTTTCAAGACCTCAGTGTAATTCAACATAAAACACCGCTTAAAAATAAGAATATAAATATTTAAAAGTAACAATGAATTGGGAAGACAGAATTCAGATCCTCTTGGCTCCTGTGCTTCAGCACATGACGGATTAAGAATTCTTTCTCTCCCTCAGTTCATCAAGACCTTTATTAAAAATGCCAAAAAATATTAAGAGGAATCAGTACCACATCTAGCTAACCATTTATTTTCCTCCCACACTAGACAGCCTTAAACTTATGGTAATACCTGAACGTCAACTATACTGAATCCTCACATCCCCTGAAATAAAAACTTTTACCACCCCTTGTGTTGGCCTCACCTCTACTTCAGCTACTGTAGGCTCCTTCGTGAAGCACATGTTCATGATGTTTCTTGCTGTTCGGTAGAAGGTTGTTAAAGAAACAGACCTACCCTGTGGAAAAAGAAAATAAAATTAAAAGTGAAAATAAAAAAAGTGCCTCCATTCCCCCTGGTCTCACATTTCTCCTTACATGCTCAATCCCAGATCACGGTAGGCGGAAGAGGACAATGTCTCCAGAACATGTGTAGGTCTAAAGCTCATTTCTTATCTGAGAGAAAATACTTCAAAAGATACAGAAATGTAATCACATTGAATCACCAAACCAACCATCTAAAAGGCCAACTGCACATTTGCAGAAGGCCATGTACACTGCTTTGTCCAGCACAACAAGGCTCTGTGTTTGATAAATACAGAAGATGGGCAAGGCCCAGCTTTCTATGACAGGTTGCAAAGGACCCAGCTGGCAACCCTACCTGCATTTTACAATCAAATCCAATACGTGATCAAAGGACCACGTGGCTACGCTCTTTACATACAAACAGGTGAAAAAGACTTAGGAAATTCACAAAAACATTCAGCATCAAACTAGTATTGTATGTGATGGAAGGGGGTCACAAAAAGTAGAGTTTACCAAGATTACTGTAATCACCTGCTTACAAAAACTAGTTATGCTCAATTCAGTAAAAGCAGTTCAAAAGCAAGGAACCAGGACCTGTTATTACAAGGCTGAGAAAAGTAAAACACAGTAAAATTGCCAAATGCACGCGCTCTTTCTTGGCACTGCTGCAGGAGCTGTACGAGAAGAGGATCTGACTTGGTTTTCTGCTTGACCTATACCTAAGTTTCTGGATACCTGCTTTCACACATACCTATAATAGCAGATGCTCTGGGAAACATCCTCTGAAGGCTTTGAAGGCAGAAGCACGAGAATCCACTTGCTCTTTTCAGCCCAGACATACTGGTATGCCCAAATAGGGACACCCCTATCGCCTTCTCTGCTCCAGGGCGGAAGAAACATCCTGGGAAGCTGCGAGCCATGAGAGCTGGCAGGTGCCACACTAGCTGCTGTGGCCATACTGGTTTGCAGGCATCGCTGCGGGCAGAGACTAGCATCACTGTGCAAACATGAAGTTGAAAACATCTTTGCGCCCTCGCCAGATCTACCACTCCTTCCTCTAACTCCCATCGTGTCCACTGGTTGCCCATCTGAGCAACCACAGACTTAAGAACTCCATGTAAATGAATGTTTTATTACTCTGACTATTACCTTTCTAGTTTTTCAATTATGAAACAGATCTGCCAAACCACCTCAGTCTTTTCTTGTGTTTAATTTATTTAAGAACTATGCCCAAGAGTAAACTAGAAACAACTATACAAGCAGCTTTTCCCCCAGAGGCCAAGTCTATCACTTTGCCATGCTCCTACAGTTGTAACATTGTCACTTTTTTAATTGAATGCAGCATAATTAGCTGTAACAAAAAAGTTTGTGAAATGCCCAGGGCCTGGGGCCCTCTGATTCCCATAAACTTCAGTTTTGGATGCTCTGTGATACAATAAGCAATTTCCTTCATCTTTTAATGCCCTCATGAATCATTTATTGAGGCAGCCTTTTACTACAAAACCTCTCATAAAACACAGGGCGCGCACCAACAGTCGTCACACTTGAGCATAGACTTCACCGCTTGCAAACCAACACAGGCTCTGCAGCAGCTTCCTCGTTTCAGTTACTTGCCTCTTCCTCTCATCTTGCACAGAAAAACAACAATAAGGACTCATCTTCCAAGACTAACTGTCTTTCCATTTTTCAGATATGCAGCAAGCAAGGCAAAAGAAAGTGGAAAAACTGAACAGTTTAGCCCTTTAAAATTGCATATACCCATTTCTTCCTCTATCAACAATTTGGCATTTTTTTAGTCTCCTAAAAGTTGTAACACAAATTAAACTGTTGAGGCATTTTTGTTGTTTGTTTTTGTTTTTAATCTGAGGGATCTTGTAAAATTTTCTAACGCCAACTCAGAAAATAATTTCAAATGCTGTAATGGAGCATTTTAACCTGGACACAAAATGAATTGCTGAAGAGTAAAATGCCCTTTTCAACGCCCTCACAAATGTCTCAACAGTTCAACAACTGGGAGCTTCAAGCTACTGAGCAGAGTCTCTGTTGCTGCAACAATACGACAGAGGAAGGTTTAAGGGATAAAACTTCCTATTTCGTTTCCTAATTCTTCTCTGGCCTCTGTGGTGGCCGTGAGAGTCAACCCAGAGCATCACCACCACCACCAAGCCTGGAGGGAAGGCACGGAGAAGGACACTGCAACACTATGAATGTTAAAGACGTTAAAGCAACCATAAAAATGAGCAGAAAACAGAGATTTCACAATAGTCACAGGCAGGAAGGAGGGACTCCTTGTAAGCAGAATCCAAAAATGCTGAGTCCCTGGCTGAAGAGAACTCAGCATGGGATTTCTGGGTCAGTTTTATGTGAGGGTTGGCAAAACTTGCATTGGTGATTTCTTCTGCGTGTCCCTCTAACAGGTCTGCTAATAAGCCTTCAGTTTGTTCTGTATGGAAACAAATGCTGGTTTCAGTCAGCTCCACTACAGATGTGTAAAATATTTTCAGAGCTAAAACTGGGGAAAAAGAAGAGTGAAAATCTTGCAGCAGATCCTTCTTCGATGACAGAAGTTTACTTCATGTACTTACAAATGACGACATTTTATTAGTCAGGTAGAAAAGCCATACATTTAGGAGTAAAGAAAGCAACCGCAGCAGCCTGCAGCACACACTTAAAAGCACAGCAGGCCTTACAGCCTGGAAAGGAGCAACACTGAAAATAATCTGGGAGCCCTGGCAGAAAGTCAGCCAAACACAAAGGAGATGTACTCTAACCTTGACATGCGATATGGTGGTAACTGCTCCTGGAAGACCGGATGTCTCTTTTGAAAAACATGTTCCAGCTCAAGCATGTGCTGACTGCAGAAATTACTGTGCGAAATCCTAAATGTATGGCCTCTTCATGGTCTGAAGCATAGACTTTATGGCCTAAACTGGACTACAGCCATATGATTACGACGTTCTCCTCCAGCCCTCCATCCATTGACCCGGGCATTTATCAAAGGGGTGGAGAGGGGTTTTTTGTTTGGTTTGTGTGTGTTCTTTATTTTTAATTAGAATTAGCAATGTGCTTTAGAAAGGAACCATTACAATCCTGTCATCTGTGGAAACTGTAACATGAGGACATGTTCTGTTAAACAAATTTCAGATTCTTTCAGAAACATGCTAATAGGTAAAGAATACTTCCCCCTCCACAGACACATGCACAGAAAGACACCATCATTCAAAGAAAAACTGAGAATGCAGGATTAAAAGGCTTGTTTCATAAAATGCCATGAAGTACCCTCTGCTTAAATCCGTAAGCCAGCACCACCTCACCTCAGTCTTATTAAAAAGCCTAGTGATGAACTATAGTCATTTTACAAGTCTTGTGGGTTACTATGGTACATCAAGATTGTTCCACAGTTTCTTATTTCTATGTCTTGAGGCTTGTTCTAAGTGATATAACCAGTTCTCATGCATCAGTCCTTCTACAGGGCTCTCCCCCAAGCGCTGTGAAAATCAAGCTACGTGCCTGTCTGCACTCAGACCAACCAGGCGTCCCGCAGGGCGCTCCACAGCAGAGATCTCTCCAGAAACCCACCACGGATTTGCTTCCCCCTGTTTTCTCCTTGGTCCATCACCTGTAACAGCAGTCCCCAGTGTCTGCAGCACAGATGAGCGTGGGATGGGATTCAAACAGGCAAGCCCCAGTGTCCAGGAAGCTGCCGGCACCACGGCAGACAACCCGAGGCGTTGCCTGAGCCAGCTCTGTGTGCTGCAGCTGCTTTGATGGGTGGGGAGAGCACTGGCCCGCAGGCTTAGCAGTGCTCATCTCTAACAGCTTCTATGCTCAGAATAAAAGCTTTTCTACCCGGTATTGTTGGACTCATACAGGGTCTGATGTTGTCAGTACTGCCAGTGCTTTTCGGGCAGCAGCAGCAATTTGGGAGCTCTCAGCCTTTTGGGGTAAAGGCCTGGGGCTCACCAAACTCAGGCTGTTTATACTAGCTGTGCTTTGCTTGCTTGCCTTTTTTATTTTCTAAGTTTGATTAGGATATGTCTCACAAATCCCAATCTTGCTTTTTGAGTTACTTTGTATCCTCTAAACTTTAACCTGGGACTTGCACTGGAAAAGAAGATGGAGGCATTCATTTCCCCACTAAGTTTGAGGTTGCTCGTACAGCAGTCAGGGTAAGTTGTATCACATTTTTCATTTAACATCATTAAGCACAGGATATTAAGCACAGAAATGCCACTTTGCTATTCACAAATGCTGCTGTCATTAGACAAGCTTCTCTCCAACAGCAGCATTGCAAAAAGATTGCTTTTCAAAGGTGGGATTGAGGCCGGAGTCCCTGAGTAAAAAGAATTTTCGGGCTGACAAATCATAACAGGCTGCAAAAGAAACCTGAAGCAAGCTTTTAAAGCTCAAGTCATGAGCTCATGCAGTCCCTAAATAGCTTAACAATAAGCCACTTTGGGCTATCTGGCTTCATTTCCTGGTGATGGAAGTGAGATTGGAAGGGGAAGAACAGCGTATTCCTTTACTGGGCACAGACACTCAACGCTCTATTTCTCTCAGAGCACGGCTACACAATTCAGCGCAACTCAAAATTGCACTGTGAGTTGCAGTGCCAAGTCCTGCTCCAGAGTAGGAGACTGCCAAATAAAATACAGTGAAAGAGTCAGCATTCCTTCGTAAATGGATGTACTTGATATGTGGAGGACTAAGCATCCATGTGACTGTTAGTACTGAGCAAAATCTGGCATCGTGGATGAAAATATTGTTTGCATTTCAATTTGCCCTTTGTAAATGTAGTAGTATTTCTAGTGATGTTAGTCTTGATGTGGAGCACTACTTCGCTCAACAAGAGACTTGCAAGAAGCAGGACAGAATGTCACTAGAAAATGAAAATAAAAACTGTGTCTGCTAGGATAATTGGGCAGAGCTATTCAGGGAACCTCTCACAAGGAGACGAAGGGGGGCAGAGCCCAGTGCATCTCATTATGACAGCAACACCTTCCAGCTTTTCCAGACAGCCCGTGAGAGCCAGGCAGATCAGGAGAGAGCCACCAGACCGCCCAGCTGCAATAGCCGCTGGCTGCGCTGCTGCCTTGGGGGTGGCACCGCAGCCCATCGGCTCCCCCCAGCTGGCTGAGTTTGCACCCGGATGCCACCCAGATGACAGCATCATCAGTTCTGCAAAACAAAATCGGCAGAGCCTGCCTCATTACCTTGTATATACACTTGTGTAAGTCGCTAAGAACTCCCTCCTCCTCCTCCTCGTCCTCCTTCGTGGTCTCCTTTTCCTGAGCGAAGAGCCGCCGCCTGCCTGTCTTCAGTGGGACGTCGACCTCTTTTAACTTGTTGCGGAAGCCATTTTTGTGAACCACGCCGTTGATGAGTCCGTTTTTGGGCTCAAACCGGGGCAAGGAATGGAACTTGTAGGCATTCTCTGAATGTCCCTCCAAAGGTCCTTTCCTCTTCTCCAAGATTTCCTTTTCCAGCAAGACCTCCTTCTCCAGTTTCTTGTGCTCCTCGGGGGAGAGGGAGTCATAGGAGAGCAAGTACTGGCAGTAGGCTTCTTGCAGCTTGGCCAGCCTGTCCTGTGCAGTTTTGGGGATGCGCAGCATGTCTGCCAGCTTGTTCCATTTCTTGAGGTCAGTCACTTGCTGCATCCCCCCCATCTCGTTGATCAGCTGGACGAAGCAGGCCAGGTCGAGCTCGCAGCCTCCTGGGGTCCACGTGTGCCAGGCAGCAGAGGAGGGGAAAGGGAAACACAGGAGCAGGTTAGGAAAGCTGTGGGCGGCTCGCGTCAAGCACGCTACCAGGCTGGGCACATACGGATTGTGCCATCCATACACCTCCGGTCACCTGGGCACAGGAGCAGGATTGTCCCTATCTCTTATGACTCCTGTTAAAGACAGGTGCATGCCACTGTTTTGCCAGCATAATTAATTCAGAAGATCATATTTTGCTATTTGCAATAGCCTTCCCTATGGTTAAATTTGCTCTCCTCCTTGAGTTTCATTCCCTTCTCTTCCCAGAGAACCCCCAGCTATCTCCTGACACGCATCTTTCCCCTGGTCATTACCCAGCAGTCAGAGAGACAGGAGTTGCCCAGCTCTTTAAAAGCCTGCACACTCCCACCCCTCCCCTCACCCGTCTGGTTTATACCAGGAAGAAGCAGAACAAGTGTCAAGATGGATACTGGCGATCAAAAAGACAAGTACCTATCCTTTCTGGAGGCGAAACACTGATTATCTAATGTCTGCACAACACTTTGAATACAGTTAGTATTTAAAAGGAGCACAGTAACATCATTAATTTCACTACAGGTAGAAAATTCCTTTAAAAAACTCCAAGGGAGGCAGGGGGTTTTTTGGGGTTGGTGCCTGCAACTGCATAGAAAAGTTCCAGGTGCACTGTTCTTCCAGTCTGAGGCCATCCATATTTTATACTCCATTATGTTTTTGTATGTTTTAAGATGACTGGCACATTTGACATTCTGGTCAAAAAATAAAAATGGAGTATTATACAAACTGCAGCATAAAAAGCAGCCAAATGGACAAGAAAGAATAAAAGAAACATCATAAATACTCTCAAAGCACAGAAATAAATCATCAGTAGAAAGAGTCAAGAAATGGACCAAAGACCACCTACAGCTCAATAGGGCACTGCTGAAGGAAAAAAGAGAATTAATACAAAACTTGCATCAGCATCGCTGCTGCCACATTGTCTCTCCTTCCCCCTTTTTTTTTTTGAGAAAAGTAAAAAATCATTATGCCATAGCCATTTCAGAGCACTTAGAAATGCTATTACATGCACAGAGAAGTGCAAGAAGCAGCGTTATGGTAAATATTTACTGACAGATGCACAGCTACAGCATCTTCAGGGCCAGTCATATCATCTTGCTTATTAGTGCAAGCAGTATTACTTTCTTCAAACTACCCTGTGCTGCATCTCAGATGCTTCACAGCTGATCCCGATTTTCCTTCTTCCCTCTGCTTTCCCCTCTTGCACCACTTGTGCCAATCCAGTGAGGAGGGAGGCTCAGCAGTGTAAACCCGAGTGCAACATTTTGGGATGACAACGGCTGCGACCGAAGCAGAGCAACACCAGAGGCTGCTTGCTAATGCTGCCCGCATAGTGCTGGGCAAAGGTGTGAAAAAGGGGGAAAGGATTTTGGCTACAGTCAAAACCAAGGGTAAAGCTTTGAGGAGCATATGACAAGGGTGGAGGCAGGGCCATGAGGCAGCAGATTTATCCAATTTAGTAACTTTTTTTTGGCAGGGTGGGGTGAGGGGGGGGTGGTGTCAAAATGGTTCAGTCTTGCAGCTGAGAAAAGGTAAACGCTGTGGGGGGAAGAAACAAGTTTGAAAGGTTTTCTTTCTTTCCTCTTTAATCTTCCCCATAAAATAACTTTCAAGGTGGCCTCTATTACAGGCTGTTACTTTTTTGGTCTAGTGTTTTATATGCACAGATCACAAATAAGCTGAAGGCATAATTCAAGATGGCTTTCCATCCCAATAGATTCAGTGACCTACATAAAGTTGAGTAATATACTCCTAACTTCGAAAGAAGTGTGGTCCAGCTTTAACGTTATATGTGTTCTCCAGTGGGACAAATAGTGCACACCCAGCTTAAGGTCCTACTTTCAACACTGTTTATGAGCTATTTAAGAAATGTGATTTTCTCCCACATCATGGAATGATCGCTCATAATCACTCTGCAGTATTAGAGCTCAAGTAGCACACCATTCAACCGGAGCCTCACATATCTGGCAGATCCTCCATAGGCCCAGCTACAGCTAATGTTTACAAAATGGTCTCAATTATAATTCCATTTCACACAGTCATAACTTTTGGAAGCATTTATATTTCAGGCTGATATTTTCCAGGATTGACCTAAGCATGGGGGGGGGAGAAAAAATATAGTTTAAACCCCATTTATAAGCACCTATAGCAAAATAGCTTTGCAGAAATAGCATGACTTTTTTTTTTTTTTAAATTGTCTTAATTTCACTAAGGAATATTTTTAAATTGCCTAGTGAGCAAGCTCTTTTAAGAAAAAAAATCTTAAATCTTCAGGTACACATGTAATACCGAATGCTGACACTATACAAGTCATTGGCAAAACTCCCACTTACTTCAATGGAAATGTGATTTGGCCCTGAAAGGAGGGATATGTACGCATGTGTACTTGAATAAGTGTGCATTTACCACCACAGATTATTTTATATCTTTCCTGCTGGAACCAACAGATTTCTCATCTTTGTACACTGATGATCTCCAGCTTCTTTTCTCCATTTTGTTTTTAATTTTAAACACAAGACAGGTAGGAAATTAACTGCAGAAAGGATACATAGGATGCAAATTTTATAAGAGACGACTGTTTGCTCTGGTTATATAGCACCCAGCAGAATAGAATCCTTGCCTATTAATTAGGCTCTTAGGTGCTTAAATAATACAAATAATTAACAGTAATGCCATCTTAATGCTGAGTTAAGGTATTTCATTAAAAAGTTAACATTGTTCCAGGAGTGTTAATCGAGCTGTCTTGCACATTTTCTTCTCTCTCTTACCAATGTAAATTTAATTCATTATTCTTCTCTATTAGCATACAACCATTGCATACATTAGGCATACAAAATGTTCACTTATTGCTGCTTGAGTGATTTTAATTTTCAGTTTTCCTTGAACATTTTTGCATGGCTATTGCAACAGAGCACTAACCCTCATTCCTCCTCCTTAGATTCTGTCATTTCTCTGTTGTGCCCTCCATTGGTTCACCATAAACTCTGCAATCTATTTGTCTACTTTTATGCATTTTCACTCACTTACCATATGTGATATAAAAAAGTCTGAAAACGGGGTGGGAAAAAATGTTGTGAACAGTTTAAATAGAAAAGTGTGTCCTTTAATCCAACTAGCATTGATAGCTGCCTCTGATCGGATAATGCCTCAAAGGCAGAACTCTAGCCTCAAGTTGCAACATGCAGGTCCTGCAAGCTCTGACTCAAAACACATCAAAACCAAACAGAAGGGCTAACAAAAATTAAAAACACAAGTTTGTTACTATGTCATGGCTGCAAAGGCAGTAGAGATGGAGGTGGCTCATTCAACAGTTCATTTGTATGCTGCTGTTGTCATGTTTTTACAAACTATTGTCACATTTTTGTCACGTGTCATATTTGACAGCAGACTATAAACCAAGAATTCTGTTAAATAAGTGATTCTCACTCAGGCATTAGCCCTGGCAGACACCTGCTGGGAGAAATAATGAAACCTCCATTTTGCAATCAACCACATTTTACTGCCTATTCTTGACACTTAATGGTTGTTAAATGTCAGCAGGTCACTGCAAATTTGTAATTTTAAGAGTCTGAGTACCCAAATAGAAGTCAGTTCCGAGATATTTTCTTACCCCCTTGGCTAAATGCTTTTAAAGGAAGGGGAAAAAAAAATATTTGTATTAAATCTTGGCAGGATTGCAACCTGTTTGGAAAACATCCTTGGAAAGGTCCAAAAAATATTCTGAGGCAACATTTAAACCGAGGCTATTGGTATCTGTAGTTGTACTACCTACCAAAATAGACAGCAGGGAAAGGAGGAGATCGTGAAATCTGGAGACCAAGACCCCCACATAGCACTTTTTTTCCCTGGGTGAAATAAAGAGCTGGCAGGAGGAAAGTGGCAATATAAAGTCTCCCTGGAAAGCTCTCCAACAACCTACCTGCATCGTGCCTGACCGACAGATAAAGAGAGAGATCCAGAGCTCTGCAGCGTTAATTGAACAGGGGTTCGGTTAAGCATAAAGGCAAACGGAGCATAAAGTTGTATACGGACACTAACAAGCAGCGGCAAAAGGCCAATGAAACCACAGCCCTTACCTATGAGTGGGAGTTCATCCATGGTAATGCCCTGAGATTTGAGGTGCTTCTTGATACAGGCCAGCCGCTGCACGTTGGGTCCCCAGCGCCTGCCTAGCTTGTGTATGTGCTGAATCTGTGTCACAAACCGCATTTCATCATTTAGCTTGCACTCAGGTCTCCAGTCTGGAGGAGGAATCACCCTGCACATCCCATACTTCTCTACCTGAGCTCGGACTGACTCAATGTATATCAGTGGGTCATGAAATTCCTTGGTGGAGGGCCTAAGGATGGGAATCTCCCCCAGCATCCCCCACCCAGACTTACTACTGCCCTTTTCGTGCTTTCCCATTGAGTCTTGTGGCTTGTGCAAGGACTCCGCTTGAGAGGTAGAACGATTTTCACAGGAGGCATTTTCAGTTTTGCCATGTGCTTGTTTCCCTGGCGTACTCTTTCCAGCAGTGGCTCTTTTCGGCCTATTTCTTTCCAAACTCTTCTCTGGCACTTCCTTTTTAAGGTGTCCATTCAGCAAAGGCTTTTCCACAGCTGCCTTTTTGCTGGCAGCTTCTGCCAAGTTGACGGCCCCTTTCATTCTCTTGGTGGGCGACTGTATTTTGTCTATGTGATTCGTCTCTTCCAGCCTCCTCTTCGAATTGCGCAGCCCCTCCCTTAACTGTCTCCCCACCTCCTTAGTGCATGTCTTTTGGTTCAACTTGCCATTGACTTTTACACCATTAACAGCGGTATTGTTAGACTTGGATGCTCCAAGGGATAGCACCTGTTTGCGGGTTTTTGCATTGCTACTTTCTATTTTCCCTGAGATTGTGTGGTTGACAGGTGAACTGGGTTTGTGGTGATTTAGTTTGGTTTCCTTGACCAGTTCTTTCTTGGCTTTGGTGTATGTGACAGTTCCCTTTGTCACTGTTGCAGTGTACTTCACAGTTTTGGACGGTGAAGGTCTGACTTCTCTCATCTTTTTGGCACTGGCTGCATTTGCACTCGGAGATGACATTCGAGTGATCCCGTTGACTTTAGAAACCTGCAATGCCAGGAGTGTTGCAGGGGGAGCAGAAGGAAGGAAACAGAAAACAGAAAAGTAAATTAATAATGTTACCACTCAGCCATGGCATCCCAATCACTGGACAACCATATTCTACAGTCCTGACTCCTGGCCCCTTCATACAATCTTCATATAACAGTTTTCACCCAGGCAAGAGGAGGGACTAGGCATTTACTATAAACAAATGAAATACAAATATTTTAAAAAAAGAAAACCAAACCAAAAAGTCCTCAGAAAGCCAATCTTGCTTTTGGAGGGTACAAAGCCTCTGGCATTAAGAAGGGTGAGGTCCCTTGCTTGCTCTACCCCCTTCCTTGTCTACCAGAAAGCCTGTTACAGTATCACAAAACACAGGTAGTCTGATTTACAAACTAATACTTTCATTATCTTCTTTTCTGGCCCTCAGACACTCTCACTCCCCCACCCAACTTCTCTTAAGTGCACACACAGTTTACCACTTCTTAGCAGACAAACTAGTCAGCATATACTACCTACTCTAACTGGAATGGGCACGTTTTGCAAAAAACACACTGATATTCAAACCAACCTCCTGTCTATACATACATACATATAAAAAGAGATATTGAACACATTATGCACCCAGCAGAACAGGATGGCCATGAAGGATCCAGTCTGTCATACAGATTAAATCTTGGGAGGCATCTTGTTGCTGAAGTTATTATTTGAAATAAAAATGTATACAGTAGTTCAATGCATTTTTTTAAAGTTTCATATCTGGGCAGTTTTGCTGACACACATTTTATTACATCATATTCATCACTAATGTGTCATTGCAACTTAGAATTGCTGGACTTCGATGCTTTCTGTTAGACATTTAAACCCAGCTATGAAACTAAAATTTGTATGTTAACTATAAGCCATGTTAAGCACTGAAAGCAACCTTCAGCTTCGAAGGGAATTGTGACAGCTCAGCACTGCCAAAGCTAAAACCCACTACTAAGAAAATGAAGTTCAAGTTTAAACCTCAAACAAATTTCAGCATTTAAACAAGTTTAAACATTGTCTTCTCACCTCCTTAAACTACTGTGAGTGCAGAAAAACACATCCAAAAAATCAGGAACATTGATAAAAGTGCTTAAAATGAAAGCATACAGTACAAACACCCCTCATCAGTGCTCAGGTAAATAACACCATTCCTGCAAAGTCATAATACTTCCCCGTGGTATTTCAAAATACTTGCCAAAATAGTAAGCATGGCAGCTTCTCTCAAATAAATGCAAGAATTGTGGTCACTTACAAAGTAGGGATAAAATCTTATAAAACAGGGATCAAATAGAGACTGAAAAGATCACGCTATGGTCTTGTATTAAGTGACTTGTGGATGAGGAACTGGAACCTGGGGATTCGGCATACACGCACACGTATGTGTATACACGCATTTACTGTGTGCATTTTCTCCTCTGTGCTCCAGAAGCTGGAGCCAGAGTATCACCCTTTTAAAACCCATCCATATTCTTGTCCTTCCTGTCCTAAGGTAGAAACACTTAAGGAAAATCCAGTTAACTGATGACATGAGTTTTTACCTTGAGCTTTCCAAAGATATATGAGATATCATCTGGAAAGCACACATTTGCTAACAGAAATGCATTTAGCCATTTCCCTTGAAATTCAGGCAGTACTCTGCATTTGAAATGGAGGCCTGGGTTTGACTTTTACGGTGCTTTTTCACACCACAGAGCAGATGGGGGTAGAGAGCTGCTGAGACATTGCCTCCTGCCTGCAGCAGTCAGAACAAGAGTTGAACATCTCTGGCTTTATAAATAGCCAGGAACATTGATTACAGATTTTGTCTAGACTAATAGAGAAGAATCGATTGAGAACTGGGAGGGGAAGGTAATCTGGGTGACAGTGATCATGAAATGAGTTCTCAATTCTAAGATGTGACAACAGTAGAGAACGGAAAACAGACTTAAAAACCAAAAACAAACCAAAAAAACAACCAAAAAAACCCCAAACCCCCAAAAAACCACCTGCAAAAACCCCAAGCTAGAGCAATTCCCACTCAGAGGAAGGGCACAAAGCACAGGCCATTATGTCTGTTCACAAAGTTCTCTAATGACTGGAAAATTAGAAAAGAAGCACAGTAAAAAGTGGAAACACAATTATGTGACTAAGGGCAACTATACAGGAACAGCAAAAGCATGCGTGGGTGAAATCAGAAAGGTCAAGGAACTAAAGAAACTTCAGTTAGCAAGGGACATAAAATGAAACAGAAAAAAAATTATAAATACCTTAAAAATACAATGACAACAAAGAACAGCAGAGATCAACCACCACACAAGGAAGTAAAACAAATGCAACAGTTTGGCTAAAGTGTTTGTGCTGCTTCTGCATTAGCTTTCACCAGAAGTACCACTGACTGAGTACTTACCAGATATATAACATAACCAACTCCAGCAAAAGAGCTAGGAAGGCAACCCCAGAGCAAGCTAAAGTGTACCTAGATGACTTAGGGCATGGCTCCTGGAAATAAGTTGAGGGCAGGCAGAGTCTACCTAACTTCAAACCCTAAAATAATTATGGAACAAATCATCAAACAGTTCATTTGTAAACACTCAAATGATAATAACATAATGTTAAAACCAAAAAAATAATAAAAACAAAACCAAAAAACCCACCCATAGTTTTGCCAAGATAGCACATCAAGCTAATTTAATCATCTTCAGACAGACACCTGACTGAGCAGGTAAAGAAGCACCTCCACTTCTGTAGGGCTCCAGTCACTGTCCCACATGACACTCCATCAAACAAGCTCCTGAGACACGTCCTAGACATAATTACTCTAAAAGTGGCTTCACAAGAGATTAAATAATGTCATCCTCAAGAGAAGTTATCGTTGTCACAATCCACTGCCATGCTAGTCACATTTCAGGTGACTTTCTGCAGGGACTTGGCTTGGCTTCTGCTCTACCAAGTACTTCCATCAGTAACTTGGATTATTGTAAAATCTGCCACACGTGGAAGGGACTGTAAGCACTCTGGAGACAAGGTCAAAATCAAAGGTAATCTTGAAGAACTTATTTCAGAACATTTCTACAATAAGAGGAAGTGCTATTTTCAGGAAGAACAAATCAAGTACATGTAAGGGAGGAATAACATTTGGGGACCACAGTGAGCTGAAACGCGATGTTAGGACAAAGCACACAAATCACTTTGTGAGACCTATTATGAAGAATGCCGAAAGCAAGGGACAGAAGCACAGGCTTTCCTATGCAAGGCTGGACCCAGCACTGGGCCTGCACTGCAAGAAAAATTTAGACAGTGCGGCAAGTCTAAAGGAGCACAAAGTGCTCAGGTATTTGGAAAATATGATCTTTACTGAAAAACCAAGGGAGCTGAGCTTATTAGTGTGAAAGAGATGATTATGGGACAACTCTGTAACAGTCTTCCAATGCATAAGGAGCTCCTCTGAAAAGAGACAGTAAATGGTCTTTCCATGCTCACTGGGAAAAGCAGGAAAAAAAACCCCTTTAATTGTCTATGACAATGATCTGACGCATAACTAGGAAAACTTTTCTCATTAGTAGAAAAGGAAAATGCTGGAAGAAGCTGTCAATGGATGTTATGGAGTCTCCTCTGCAGGAGGTTTTCCAGAAGATTTAAACCAAGGAGGCCATAGCTACTGCGCTGTCAGGTACAGTCAAGACAGCATCTCAGAGTGAGCAGTCAGGCTATGTACCTTGTCACTCCAGCCTTCCTATGATTTTTATTTTTAAGAAGTTGTGACCAGAAGTCTGAAGGGCCATCCAGGGCACTCCTTCAGCAAGGGGTGGTGACAGAGGGCCTGAGAACAAAACACAGTCATGGAGAAAGTGCTCATGAAGAAAGAAAGGCAAGATCCTCACAGCTCCTCCTCTTCAAAGGAAGACATGCCATCAGCACCATCAGCTTTAGGCCAGAATTAAAACTGCCAAGATACAAAACTCTGGAAAACTGAGTTCATTAAGAAAACAGCAACTTATCACAACTGTTTACAGAGTTGTTAGAATACCTCCACACAATGAAAACTTAGATCTCTCAGGGCCAAATCTTGAACTGAAGAGGTACATAAGCTTCGGCTATCTAACCTCCAATCCTAGATTATAAGCACACTATTCTGAGTTTTTATTCAAACTTCATGAAGTTATTCCAATGACAAACAGGTCCTGAAGTAGAGAACACTTGGCTTTGAGAATATCATCAGGAATTCATTTCTTTCTTTCTGGTTGCTAACTAAGGAGACCCCACAAGAAAGAAACACTGCTGGAAACTTCCTCAGGACCATCATCTTTCTAGAGCAGACACAACATGATGGTTTACAAATGCTTCTCCCTCTTCCCACCCCAAATGCCTGTAGGTATCTTGAGTGTTTTCAGAGAGGATAGCATAATCTTTAAGATGCAGCAGTACTATATAGACCAGAACAGACCACGCTTCAAACAGGAATAGGCTGCAACAAACGTCTTCCAGCTGGAAACAAGTGGAACAAACAACGTGGTCATAGCCCACCATCAAAGCAACAGGTGGATTCAGGATTTCACATTGACAAATGTGAAATTCTGGCTGGTCAGTCATCACCTATACGTTCCTGGTCTGTACTTGTCTCTGAGGACCCATCAGATGATTGGAACCAAAAGTACAAGAAATTGTGGTAGGCATTTTCTTACCTTTCTACTGTTGATATGTCTCCCCCCAAACCAAACATACACACACAGAGTCAGCCTAAAAAATTGGCCACACTGCCAGGTGCGCAGGTTCACCAAATGGGGGTCTATGCCACAGCTCCATTCCGAGGCAGTGCTTACACTGAGCGCATAAGAAAGAAGTCAATTTAATTCAAATAGTAACAAAGTGATTGACATTAGCCTTACATGACTCAAAGTCTCGAGCTAAAGGTGAAACTAGGGATACGAATAATCTTTGCTTTTCAGCTATCTTCTCAGTTTTGCTGACATATATCTTCAGGCCACTCTTTT